AACTTCTCTGAAAAATCTGTTCCGGTGTCTCACCACCCTCATCGTAAAAACCCTCTTCCTTATGCCTAATCTAAACCTACCCTCTTTCCGTTTAAAACTGTTGCCCCTTGTCCTGTCACTACAGGCCCTGCTAAAAAGACTCTCTGTCTTTCTTATAAGCCCCCTTTCTATATTGAAAGGCCACAATAAGGTCTTCCTGGAGCCTTCTCCAGGCTGAACAACCCCAACTCTCTCAGCCTTTCTCCATAGCAGATGTGTTCCAGCCCTCTGACCATTTCTGTGGCCCTCGTCTGGACCTGCTCTAACAGGTCCATGTCTTTCTTGTGCTGGGATTCCCAAAGCTGGATGCAGTACTCCAGGTGGGGTCTCATGAGAGTAGAGTAGAGGGTGAGAATCACCTCCCCCAACCTGCTGGCCACACTTCTTTTGATGCAGCCCAGGATACTGTTGGCTTTCTGGGCTGTGAGCGCACATTGCTGGCTCATGTCCAGCTTTTCATCCACCAGTATCCCCAAGTCCTTCTCCACAGGGCTGCTCTCAATCCCTTCATCCCCCAGCCTGTATTGATACTGGGGGTTGCCCCGACTCAGCTGCAGGACCTTGCACTTGGCCTTGCTGAACTTCATGAGGTTTGCAAGGGCCCACTTCTCAAGCCTGTCAAGGTCCCTCTGGTTGGCATCCCTTCCCTCAAGCGAATCAACTGCACCACTCAGCTTGGCGTCCATCATTCACAAATTTGCTGAGGGTGTACTCAATCCCACTATGTCTTTGATGAAGATATTAAATAGTACCGGTCCCAGTACGGACCCCTCAGGGACACCACTTGTTACTGATTTCCATTTGGACATTGAGCTATTGACTGCAACTCTCTGGATGCAACCATCCAACCAATTCTTTATGTGCCTAACAGCCCATCCATCAAACCCAAATCTCTCCAACTGAGAGGCAAGAATGCTGTATGGGACCATATCAAAAACCTTACAGAAGTCCAGGTAGATGACGTCTGTAGCTCCTCCCTTGTCCACTCATGCAGCAACTCCATCGCAGAAAGTCACCAGGTTAGGTAGGCATAATTTCCCCTTGGTGAAGCCATGGTGGCTGTCTCAAATCATCTCCCTGTCTTCCATATGTTTCAACATGTCTTCCAGGGGGATCTGCTCCATGATCTTACCAGGCACAGAGGTGAGGCTGACTGGTTGGTAGTTCCCAGAGTCCTCCCTTTTAAAAATGAGCATGATGTTTCCCTTTTTCCAGTGACTGGGGACTTCACCTTACTGGCATGACTTTTCAAATATCATGGAGAGTGGTTTGGCAACTACATCAGCCCGTTCCCTCAGGACCCTGGGAGGCATCTCGTTGGGTCCCATGGACTTACGTATGTTCACACCCCTCAGGTGGTCTTGAAGCCAATCTTCACTTACAGTGGGAGGGATTTAATTCCCCCAGTCCCTGCCTTGAGGTTCAGGGGCTTGAGAGATGTAGGAAAAGAGATTAGTATTGAAAACTGAGGCAAACAAATTGTTGAGTACCTCAGCCTTCTCCATGTTGGTTTTCACCAGTTCTCCTGTCTTATTTATCTGGCAGTGTGTGTGTGGATGTGTGTACTCTTTCTGTAATCTTCCATTTTTGGCCAATATACCTGTAGAAGCCCTTCTTATTATTCTTTGCATCCCTTGACAAATTCAGCTCCAACTGTGACTTTAGCTTTCCTGATCCCATCCCTACACATCTGGGCAGCATCCCTATATTCTTGCCAGGATCTGTGTCCCTCGTTCCACTGCTTATGCATTTCTTTCTTACACTTTAGTTGGACCAGGAGGTCCTTACTGATGCATGCCAGTCTCCTGCCTTCCTTTCTTTATTTCTTACACATGGGAATTGAGAGCTCTTGTGCTCCAAGAATAATGTCCCTAAAGAGCTGCCAGCTCTTTTCAGCTCCTTAAGAGCAGTTTCCCAGGGGGTCCCATTCACTAATTCCTTAAACAACCGAAAATTTGCCCTCCTAAAATTCAGGGTCCTGACTCTACTCTTCACCTGGCCCATATCCATCAAGACAGAGGTGTTCATGTCTCAGTATAGGCGTCTACAACTCAAGTCACTCAGAGCTACCTTAAGTGTTGATGGAGGCAACTCAACCATTTCCATGCAGTCTACAGCATGATTGCCAGACAAATCCCATTCGCAGTTCCTAATCTACAGCAGTAATTTGAAAGAGTGAGGGTAGAAGTTTGGAGATGATGAACACAGAAGGCTGTATTATATCACCTACGAGTATGGGATTTTGAGGGTGGCCTTGTTACAGCTAGAGCCAGCTCAAAGCTTCTCATCTGATTGGGTAGGTTACATTTTGTAAGCAAGATCACATCAAAAAGACACGACTTGTAAAATTATTTTCTCCTCTTAACAGAGGCAGTCTAGCTAAAACATAAACACTGTATTTGGAAGACGAATTAGATCTGTATGTCAAGGGAATCTTTAATTATTCAGATATGGCCCTCAGGTCTGATAAAGCCTTACCCATGCTGAGGATATATCAAGATCAGCATTTTTTTCTGCATATCGCTCTAAGCAGCTGAGTACCACATCAGATACTTAACAAACTTTTACTGTATTCGTGATCTCAGAAAAAGAAAACACATAATAAAAGCTGGCATTTCTTCCTCAGTTGACAATTTTTCTTAGGAAAAAACTGATTTAACTACATGAATCTTTTCGTAGCACAGAGGGATTCTTCTCTATGTGAATTATTTTGTCTCTTACCAGTGACCCCATATAGAAGGTTTCCTACTTCCAGAGTTCTTGAGATTTTATCAGATTCACATCAGTACCTTTCATCTTGTCGTTCTGTTTTGATAATAACTTCACTGTATCCTTGCTTTGAGGGCTACATTAATTATGAACAAGAATCATCCAGTATTCATCATTGCAGATAGCAGAGAAATCAGAAACTAATCATGATACAGATTAACTAACTACAGGGTGACCTGGATTGCTTAATAGCCTCAGTTCATTTGTAATTTTCTTTTAATGTGGTCAAATGCTAGGTCATAGTCATAGGTCAATGAATGTAAGATGTAGGACTGTCATGCTGGAAGTAATAACCCTAAGAAAACCATACAGGGTTACAGTGGATAACTCATTAAACATTACACCCTTTTTGAATGATTCATATATCAGTCTTTCTCTTTCTTAATTAGATGGGAATATCAGTTAGAAATAGCAAAGTGATTTACTACTGTATACTCAGCAATAGTAAAGCTTATTTTTGGTGTTCATAATTCAAAAAGTATATTGTAAAAATCTGAAAAGGCTGAGAAAAGATGCACACAAGTGATGAGGAAAGAAGTTTAAAAAGTGTGAGTTGTATAATCTCTTAAAAATAGACTGAGATTAACAATCTTGAACTCTGCAAGGAGAAATCTTTTCGTAGTAAAGAATCTGTTCAAACAGCAGGCAAACTGTAACATGATACAGTGGCAAAAAGCTAAGCTAAACAGTGAAACTAAAAATGAGATGCCTAACTTTTAACAGTGACTGTTAGTAATCTCCATTGCAGTAACTCATGGCATCAGCCAGAAGTTACAAATTTAATACAGGAATCACTCTGATTCTGTGGCCTGGGTTACACAAGCTAAACAAGATGATTTTAACAACCTCTTATGACCTTAAAGGTCATTAACATAAATCTTTGAGCCTATGATCTTCTTCTATCACTTCTTCAAAGTGATCCCTGAATTTCCAGGTTTTCAAGAATTTCCTTCTTTTAGTCAGTGCTATAAGAACATAGTTTCCTATATTCTGCACTTCCTCTAAATTTAAGAACGCTGGAGGCCATATAATTCTGAGCTTTAACACCACAGAAATTCAGACAATAAAATCCCCATGAAGACCACACATTGTGTTTCTGATGTTCTTTGTACTTGTTGAAGAAGTTTGTTCTGAACCCTGGACTGATAACAAACTTGTGAAAGCCTGGAGCCATTTATACTGGGGTTTTTTTGCATTTAAAATACGTGAACACTAGTCCGCAAAAGAAGTTTGTGGCTGTGATGAAACTCTCTCATACCTTCAGTTTCAGTGAGACTCCTCTCTACAGTTTTGGGTACTTTATGCACCGGTTCCAGAGGAAACACATTTCTCTCAGTCAAGATCTACACAGAGCCAACACATACAGGGTGACTCATTGTCTATTCAGATTAAACAGCTCAAAAAGAAATCCCGGAATCCCCTATGTCGTTTCTCTACTGTGCAGGCAGCTCCGAGAACCCTGCTACTCCGGGGGTGAAAGCACCACGCAGACTGCCACCAGCTCTGTGCTTACAGTTCATTGAAACTGTTACCCATGATAAATTTAAGACTCTTACTTAGTGGCTGTCACATACCCCTGCTGAGTCACCTGGAGCAAACAGGAGGGAATGGCACCACTTATCAAAGCACCAAGCCATGACTTCAACCACTTCTCTGACGCGCGGGCGACGGGCAGCCCTGAGGCACTTCAGCCCCTCTGGGCCAACAACCCCACCGGGAAATAAGCCCGTAGCTGGCCGGGAGAAAAATGAACTCCCCCTTGGGTCGGGAAATGTCTTCCCCGGGGCGGGGGGGGGGGGTATCCCGGCGAGGCAGAGAGACGCGGTGAGGAGAGAGGGACTAATGGAGACCCCGGACCGCCGCGCAGCGCTGAGGCGGGCAGTACCTCAGCCCTCAGCTCACGCGCCCCGCCTTCCAACGGGCGGTGGGGGCCGACGGCCCGCCGCGGCCACGCGCTGCCGTTCTGATTGGTCCTAGGTCCTCAGAGCGACGGGAGAGACAGCCAATCAGGGCGTGAGATGCAGTGACGGGGCGGGGAGGGCTGCTGTGTAACGCGCCTGCCTGTGTGAGGGAGCGGGCGCTTTGCTCCCCCTCCCCCGTCCCTCTGAAGCGCGGTCCGGCCCGCGGGGAGGGACCGAGCGGCCCTGCGGGAAGGAGTCGCCGCGTCCCGGCTGCCCCTGCCCCGCTGTGCCATGGAGGACGTGCTGCCCTCGGGCCTGCTGGAGATCTGCCTGCTGGTCGGTGTGCGCAGGGAGCGGGTGAGGGCGCTCCTCCAGGTGAGAGGGGGTTCGGTGCGGGGAAGGGAGAGCGGGGCGTGGGGGGGCTCGGCTCTGACCCGGCTGGTCTGTGGGGCAGCTTCTGTCAGCGCGGTTCTCTCCTCGGAGGTCTAAACGGAGTCTGAGCCCGGTCAGCTCCTCCCTGGACGGACCTCTCTTCCCCCCCTGTACGGACTTGAGTAAAACTATTGGGTTGCGTTGCTGTTATTGCATAGAGCTGACGTACTTTAAAGAAAACTTGTTTTGGCAGGCGATCATCAGCAAAGTAGGGATAGTTTGGTAGTGGGTTTAAGTAATTGCACTTTTTTCAAAGGTCTGAGCTTAGATGAAGAATGCAGTGTAACTTTATATAAGCAGGAGCAGCAAAATGCTTGAACAGTGCATATCCTTTACTGGATGATGTCCCATTTCCCGTCTTCCGTTGGAGATAAAAGCTAAAGATAGGGGAATAAAGCCTGGTAATTTGTATCCTGAGGGTAACAAGAGGTCTAAATCCCTGTGAGCTTAGTGCTCTACTTTGGCACAACCTGAGTTAATTCAGATACAGCAGAAGTTGATGGGTTGGTTTCTCTTTTGAATATGTGGTTTGTAATTTGCTTATGACTATAGCCGCTTCACATGTGAGTTAACAAAATCCTCTTCCTGATTTTGCTTTGTTAAAATGTGCTGATGGTTTTGTTAGATACCTGTGAGCTGCCCCGCTGTGGGAGTAGCTGTGGTGCCAGCACCTGCTGAAAAGCCAAGCTGCTCCCAGGGATCTCGGTTGTCTTGCTTGAACTTGAATTTGATTGCGCGCTCTAATAGCATTAGATAAAGAAGTCTTTGTTAAACTTGTTGCCGCTCACTCGCTCAGGAGATGGCTTTTGTTGATGTCAGCTTCTTAAGTAATATCAGCTAAGGAGAGGCTCAAATTCCAGCATCTCATTCATGTATACATTCAACTTGGGAAAACAGTTGTGCCATAAATGTCACCACCAGACTTTTGAAATCAGTGTGTATGTGTTGTTTCAGCACCTGCGTGAGAAGTAAACCCAAAAGAAGGTGAATTTCTTTTTCATTCCAGTCTGCTCAGTTGGATCTCATTGCTTCCAAAAAACCTGTAGAAGCCATTCCGATCACGCTACAGGTTTTGAATTGTTTCTTTGCTCAAGGTATAAAATGGAGTGTCAGAAAGGAAAGTAGTCCCTACGCTTGTCAATATTAACTGTAGTAACGTCCCTGCAAGCTGTTAAACCACAGGGATTTCAATCACTGTCTTAGGGCAACTGTATAGATTTACTCCACTTCCTTTTCCTTCTGCAGAACTATCTACATGATGAAATAGTGGAATATGTTTTGTGTCTAATTTCAGTGAATGTAGAAAGAAGAGACCTTGTTGACAGAAAATAAGAACATTTCGATGGAAAGTAGCAGACCTCTGATGATATTTACAGATGAAACAGCAGGGTGAAAATCTTGATAGTGCTTCAAATCTTGGTCTTGAAAGAGTGTTTGTGCATTCTTAACTCTATTGCAATATGGAGTAATCAAGTCAATTAAGTCAGTGGGAACATATAACCCACTCCCAAAGTCGGGTGGGGATTCCAGGGAAAAAGATACAGTTTTGCACTGACGCTCATGAAACTGGAGTTCCTGTCATCCATCAATTGTCCTTATTGCCGAGATAATAGTCACTCCAAGATTTCAGTTTGAAGAGATAACAGGCCGCTATTTTCAGCTAGAGATTAGTTTTTCAGTGTTGGAAGTGTGTATTTTGTAAGAATGAGATGTATAATGGTGAGGATCATACAGCCATCTTTGCTAAGACTTCTTTCCCCTAAGTTATTTTCATTTATAAAGCCGGGGTTTGATATGGCAAGTATGATGTGCAAGTTGTCTGTGAGATGTCTCAGATCTTCCTGTTGGCTCCATTGCTGGGTTCTGTATCTATCTACCACAGTCAGTGGTACAGATCTTATCTCTTAACAGTGTCTGCATCATGCATTCTGGCCCTGCTAATGTAGACATAACCACCAAAACAATTTTTCCTTCTTCTGTAATGCCCCCCTGGGTGTCAAGTTGTGTGAAAGAAATGAGGTGTGATCAAGTTAAGCATTAGTTAGCAGTGTGTACTTGTGGCAGTGAAAAATAACTGTGTAATGGCCTGCATCATCAGGACCATAGCTCACAGGTGAAGGGAAGAGATTATTTCTATTATTATAATTACTCAACACTCTCAAGGTCATATCTGGAATACTGTCCCACATTTGGGTACCTTGATACCAGAGAACTGCTGACAAATGGGAGCAAGACCAGAAGAAGCTAAGCTATATGAGTGCTGGAGCACAAGGGGGGAAGAATCTCCTTCCTAAGGGATTTCTGAAACTTTGCTGGATGAGACCCAGAGCAACCTAATCTAACTTAAAAGTTGTCATTGCTTTGAGCAAAGGGTTGCACTAGAACCTCCAGAGGTTCCTCCCAACCTAATTTTTCTAAGGCTTCATACTTTTCCCTGCCCAATTATTCCTTAAAGAAGCCAGTTCTTTCATGACATGCAAAATGAAATTAACTTCTTCAGTGATGGGAAGAGGAGAATGAGATCAAGGAAACAACAAATAGCTGAGGTCACACTCCGATCTGTGGTTTCAACACACTACTTCTTGTTTGTGTCTAAAATAGCGCAGTCGTCGTAAAAAGTCTGTCTCTTATCTGCGTCCTATACAGCACCATTGTTACAGGAACAAAATCAGTAAATAGGGATGGAATAAATCCCTGATTTGTGGAATCTTGAAGAATTACAGGAAAGAAAATGCATTAGTCTTTATAAGAAGCTGTGTATGATGCAAGGACATTTGATAGTAAAAAGCATCAGAAGAGAAGCATTTCAAATTGAAGAAGTAACAGGAGAAGCAGAGAACATACATGTTCAAAGAATATTAGAAACAAGTGAATATTGTTGTGTTGCTGCCTATTCATTATCCCTGAACTGAAAGGGTAAGAAAATATGACTTCGGCTGTAGACATTAATATGAGCTGACTTGAATGCTGATGACTGAGTCACTGGGTCAGTGAAAGTGCTGACAGTGCTGTTCTGTGGAAAAAAAAATGGCGTTTAATGCCTCTGTTGTAGTTCAAGACATCGAGGACCTGGCATTTTAGAGGCTGTTACACTGTGAGGCTATTAAATCACTGGCTGTCGTCCAGCACTTTGTAGCACAGAGATGCCTTCAGTTAAGTCAGGGATTGCCCTGTCAAAGCAACTTTGTATGAAGACCTCTGCAGGGTAAATCTGCCAAGTTAAGATTGCTACTGTTTGAGTAGGTCTGTGTTTTTCTTGCATGACAGCCTCAGGGCTGAGCCTTAAATCTTAATTTCCTTCTGAAATGTTTAGCTGCATGTTGTTTTGAGAGTAATTGTGTTTATCTGCATTTCCAGTTTCTTCACGTGAAATGGATGTCAGCTTCCAGCTAAGGAAAATGACACTTGAAATTTTTAGCATGGCAAGATGTGACACTCAGTACCCCAAACTGTAACGTGCTTTTTGAAGTCATTGCTATCTTTTGAATATCCCAGTGGATACTTATCTGAACTTTTTTTTTTTCACTCTGAGTTCTTTCTACTTCAGACACTGTGTTCATTAAAAGAGTGTTTTTTCACTTATTTTTATTGAAACGCTTTCTTTCAAGTATGCTATTATAGCATATGGTGGAGCTTAAGGTACAGTAACTAATATGTCCTGAAGGTAAATATTCCTTCTCATTTTTCCTATGATGCTCAAATGTGAAGAAGACAACTGGTGGACTTATCTACTAGGACAAATAAGCTGAGACTTTCTGTTCCAAAATTTGAATGGTGGAAGATTGGCTTCAGTAAAGCAATAGAGCTTTGTGTGTTGTAGCTACTTTAAAAAGTAGGGAAATGATGAGAGACGCCAGCATTGGTTCTCAAGGAATATCTTAAATACGAGTAATATTGATGCATCATGTCTGAAGGTAGAAGCAGCATGTATGCTTCATCTGTCTTTGAATCAGTTAGCAAAAAGTTGAAACAGCTTTTTAGCCACAGTGAGGCTCGGCTTTCCTGTTTCCAAATATCCGTTGACTAAGCAAAGCTTTTACTTGCTGTTTTGACCTTGCAGGAAGAATTAAAAATGCAGTGAATTAATTGAAAATGCAGCTGCTTGTCTCTACCATATGGTCAAGAATACAAAAAGAGTTCCCAAGTACAAGGAAATCTCCTCTTTTGATCACATCCTCCACAGGTTTTTCATAGCAAGGCAGCAAGGGCTTTCAGTGCAGTAATACTTTACAAAGCTGCCTACTAAAAAAATGTGATTTTGTACATGCTCTTGGGATGCCTGTTCCACTTAGTCATCATTGTATGGAGAAATTTTCATGGCTTCATGTTGTACAGTGTCTTAAAATTGTGTTTATTGTAACAGTGATTGCTGTTTTTAGTTGTACTTTCCTAATTGCCTTATAAAGTTAAAAGTTGTCTTGTGAAAGCTTGTCTAGTGTTTTTTTTTTTTCTTGTCAACGTTATTTTGAGTAAAAATGTAGCTTTTCCTAAAGTTGAACAATGACTTATCTAGGGAGTTCAGCTGTTTTTCTTTGTTTTTATTTATTTGTTGCCTGGTTTCTCTTCCTACCAGTGTTTATTTTAAGTACAGCTTAAGTATATCCTAACGGTTCAATGGAGGAAATATTGTATTAGATGTTTGTTAGTTTTCTTATGCCAAAGGCATAATATTGATACGGTGCATTTTGAATGATGAAGAATGATTCTTTGCCTACTGAAAATGCCCAGACTGTTCCCCTTGCATTAACATATGTAAAGCAAGAAATTAGAGGGGAAAAAAACATTATTTAGGAAGAGGAAAAAATGTATTCTAAACCCACAATTTTAGGGGTAGAGAGAAAACAGGGCTAAAAATGGTTTAAAAAAACTATCAGGAGGAGGAGGAGGAGTGTCAACTTAGTGGTGGTTTGTTTGTTTGTTTGGTTTTTTTTTAGGGTACTCAAAGAAAACCCAAAAGTCTTCCTCCCCTTGATCCAGAAGTTCTTTCTGTATTTGTGCCTCCATTTATCAGCAGAGATGATACTCAGGTGATTAATGCTGGTAATAACTTGAATAAAAGTAAACGCCGGTCTTTCCGAAAGAAAAAAGAGAGGCCAAAGATTGAAAATGTCAAAAGTCTCAATGGGGAGCAGAAAGCAACTGACACTGAAGAAATTACAGTTCCAGTGGACATTGATCTTATTGGTTTGCCACAGCTATGCTTCCCAGGTATGGTAGAGTTCACACTTCTTAATGACATCTGTTTTATTATATATTTGTTGACCCATAGTACAGCCAAATGTGTTTTGTTTGGGTTTTTTTTTAAGATCATCTTCTCTATCTCTTTGTATTTCACAGTATAAAAATTGTGTCTGCTTGTGTGATGAAAGTAGCTGTTAACCTGAATGGGATGCCCTTACTCTGTGTGGTTATGTTGTGTGAAACAGATCTATTAGCAATAGTAGCTGCAACACCTGCAAGAGTGGGAAGCTGAAAGTTACTTTAGCCCTTATTGGTAAATCTTGGTTTGAGTGAAGTGCACACATGCACACACTTTTAAAATTCTTTTTCCCCCCTAGAATGACTAAGTACTCTTTCACTTTTCATTTGGTATTAAGATATACCTGAAGTAGTGGCTGTCTCCTCCAGGTTTAGTTGTAGGAATTTTAACATGCCTGTCACTATTGCAGATCTTATAATATCTTGAAAGAAAAAAAAAAAGTGAACAAAACTGATCTGTTTTATTTTGCTACTTAAAATGCAGAATAATTATATAGTATTTTTGCTGCTTCAGTAATGTGCAGCTTACAGCCTTTGTAACAACCCTTAGATCTGAAGAGCTTGAGGGACTGTATATGTGCATTTTAATCCCTTTAAAATGAGTAGTTTCTCTTGAAATTAAGTGGAAATGTGCAGTATTTGTCAAGAATTGCTTTTCAAGCAGCTGTAGTTAAATATGTAGTTAAAAAGAGGTTTCTGCCTTCATTGCAGGAGGACTTTATATAACTTCTGAATCAAAAGAGGACCACATTCATTTCCTGGTCTTCACAGACGTTTGTGGTAACAGAACATACGGTGTTGTTGCACAGTACTACCAGCCTATGCAAGTATGTTGTTTAGCCTATGCTTTTATTAAAGTGTATTAAAAGATATAAAATAAAACAAAACACTGAGAATAATGTCAGGTTTAATTTATGAAATTAGTTAACAGATGTGTTTTTATGTTAGTAGGAATACAGAACAAATCATACGTTATATTGCCATTGTAAATGAAGTCCATTGGAACAGCGTTGCATAAGGAAAAGCTGTTTTGGATTTCAATTAGGAGTTTTGAATATTTAAGAGCAGACTTTGTCCCTTGGACTTTTTTTTGGTGAAGATTGTACCCTGTGTTCTTTCTAAATATCTTTTGCGCTGAAATTCTTTTTAATACGTATGTCTAAGTCTTGTAGGCTGACATTTTTCTGAAGAGCTTGAGGGAGCTAGACATCCAAATACCCTTCAAATTCACAGCGAACTGGGTGTCACATCTCTTGGGTTCTCAGAAAATATCAGCCATAAATTCATGATTAACATAAACACATTAATCTGTAGTTTTCTTGCAGGATGGCTGTACTTCCTTGAATGGACAGGCCCACTGGGACTCTGCGCAGACTGGGAAGATGCCTGTCTGTTTTGTACCATTCGCTATTTGTGTTATATCCAGATATCCATATTTTAATGCCCTTAAGGATTGTCTCTCTTGGTAAGACTTGCTATCCTGTGTGTTTCTCCTGGAAATAACTGTGCAGGTTTTAATACATGAATTTTCATTATGTGGTCAGGATAGTTATGGTGGTGTGAGATGTGTGGGAGAGGAAAAGAAGAAATGTAATGTGAATGTTACCCAGACAGTAAGCGCAAGTTCTAAATATCAAGTAAATTAGTTATGATGTGGTCTTCATTTTCTTTTAGGTTTTTGGTAAGTCTAGAAAATACTAATTTGCAGGGAACAGATTTCTCAAAGATTCTGTTTTTTTTGGAAGAGGGTTAACTATAATTTTGCCATGCTGGTGAAAATCACTTTGAAAGCACAAAAACCTCTTTATAATGCACCAAATATATATTCATGTCCTTATTTGCATTAATAAGCAGTTAATTACACTTTATTCTTTAACTAAATAATCCAAGTCATTTGCGTGAGTATAATGGTTACTTGGCTGTCGTAGAACTAGGAGAGAAAATCTTAGGATACAGAGTACTTCACTGGTTAGAAACACTCAAATACTCTGCAGTGTAGATGAGTTAAAAGGTAAGTGAACATGGATCTGTCTTATTGTTTAGTAATTTAATTTATTTTGAGGTTGTGTGTTGCTTTATCGTTAAAGTGTATGTGACTGGCAGAAAAGGGGGAATGCAAGTGACAAAGCTGCATTTGGTGCTGGCATTTCTCACCACACTGGAAACTCAACTGATTAAGTTTTCATAATATCTTCTTCTGCATTGGTTTTTTTTTTTGTGTTTTTTTTCTTTTTTGTTTTTGTTTTTAAATCTCATAATCACCACATATTTTCCTCGATACTGTTTGATAGATAATTTCAGAATATCTGCCCTTCTGTTTTGTGTTTTTTGTTTTTGGTTTTTTTTTTTTAATTTTTTAGAAAAGGTATTTTACTGTGCCAGAGTATACTTAAGTGGGAGGAAAGGAAGGGATGGAGAGGTACCATTTTTTCTTATTTTGGTTGCGTTACTGAAATTTTTTTATATGGCCTGAAACTGCTGCTGGGATGTGTGGCTGTTCTGAATGGAATGTAAGCAATTACAGTAAAGACATCTATTATATACTTTGAGCACAGTACCCTGTACAGCTGGGGATGTTTCAGCCGTTTGTAACATTACAGAACATTGACATTGTTTTCCTGCAAGCCAGAAAGGGAGTAATTTTCATTTTGGTTGCCTTAGCTGTAATCAGGTGGCCAATGGGTTAAAAATCTAATTAAATGTTTTCATTGACTCAGTGTACTCAAGTAGTAGTGCCTCCTATACTTAACAAATAATAACACATTCAACAGCGCACTTGTATCCTTGGTATGCTTCAGTGGTGGTTTGCAGGATGCTTCAACTGACTAATCATTCTGCGAGTCTGTGGATTTGAAAACACTTGCTGGTGGACCTCGAACCACCTATTTCTAGTGTGTAGTCCTTTTCTCATGAGAACTAGTAGAAAAATGCTATTTGTTAGTGTTAATGAAGGCTTGATGTTGAAGTAGGATCTAAAGGGGTTCTGTTTCCATTCAGGACCTTTTTGCAGCAAAACATTTCATTTTCCTCCAGAATACTGCTGTGTGTAGCTTATTTTCCGCAGGACCTGCAATGCACAGGACTGCTTATAGGTGAGGTGGTACTTGTTTTAATTCAGAACAGTCCTCAAAGGTATTTTATCATCATAAGTATTCCCAGATAAAACCTGGGTTCCTAAACTTTTTCAAATAGCAGATTATAGTAGAAATCATAACTGAAAACTGAGACCAAACTGAGGTATAAAGGCAACATCAAGCTATAAATCCACATAGGTGCTTTGAACTGCAAGGGAAACTTGCAAACTTTCATCATAGTAACGAAGGTCTTCATATTCTGTGCAAATAGTTTTATAACTAATTCACATATTACTAATGTACAATGCTTCCAAATCTGGAACAATTTGAATGGACTGTGTCTGTCTCTCTCCGAAGCAAGAAGATATGCATCTAGACTGTTTCACAATACTGCGACTGTTGGATTGTTCTACATAATTATTTGAAAAGGTTCAGTTTTAAATTGAGACGTTTTGGCACTTTGCACAGGTAGTTTTACCTCAGTCTGTTACCCTACATGAAAAGTGAAATATTCCTGACAGTAATATCTTTCTGGATGAACTCCTGTCTTGGGTGGATGAATAGGCTCCATTCAAAGAGTAAATCTTCCAACCTGTTATTAGTCCTTTCAGATGTCTTGAGAAAAGGTGGAAGTGTGCAAATAGCTCGCAGCATTGAGGCAGTACAAAGGACCTATTCTTAGATGTTCTTGCTTTCTGAAACATCTGTCTGTGGACAGTTAATAGCGGTAATGGAAGGTTCATAAACTCCTTAGCTCTCCGCTTTAATGTTTTAGAGATTACTTCATTTATTTCAGCAGACATTTGCAGTGCAGAGCTGTCAGCTGCTATTAAGTTGCATTAATGGGCACAGTGTACTGATTAGGGAGCTCTTACTGTCCTTTCTGTACATCTCCTGCTTTTTCAGCATCCGGGGCAGGTTGTTTCTGTTATTAACATTTACCAGATGTGTTGATATGTGCTTTTTGTCTCAACCCCCCCCCCCCCCCCAAAAAACCCAACAAAAACCCCCAGGTCTACCTATGCTGCTTAGGCCACATCTAAGGCATTACCAAGGGTGAGAGCATATGTGTTTAAATTGATGACTCTACCATCTGGTTTTCTTTGGTAATTCTTAAACTCCCCTCACCCTGCCTTCACTGTGCCCCTGAATAGCTGATGGGCTTTTTGGAGATATGGGCAACAGCCTAGTACACAGCCCAGGGTAGTTTCCAAATGTGAATTTAGTGAACTTAAATGCCTCATTAATGCAGTTAAAAGTTCAGTAATATATGACAGAATATTTTTATTCTGGAATCTAAATGCAATACCTGAATATGATGTCCTGGATTCTAGTATATCTCTTGACCTTTTCAGTTCCTTTCTAGACCACTTTCTTCCTGAAGAGCAGCTATTATTCTGCAGGAAACCAGTAAAACTGCAAACTGAAATAAAACCTCAAGGGAGAATATAACCATATTCAGTTCCTGGTTTCTATATGTATGGTTTTGCGGACTTAAATTTCTGATTTTGTAAAGGTTTGGGTTTTGGTTTTTTTGCTATAAATAGGCACATGAATCTTACATTGAACAAAATGCCCTTTTTGACTACAAATATCTAACTTCTTAATTGTTACATTTCAGAAATGCTGTTGGACTTAACAGTTTGCAGTCTTAATAGTGTGTATGTTTAAATGTTCATTAATTGATCTGGCGTACAATATAAACTGCATGACCTTTGTGGCTTTGACACAGCTACGGTAATGCAGTTCTCAAACAGAAACATTTGGCAAGTTTGCACAACTGTATTTGTTCTTCGTATGGGTAGGAACAATAGCAAAGAGCAGTGTTCATGCAGGCCTTACACTAAATATGGCTCTTGCTTCACATTCCTCTGCAGTTAAGCCCATGTCTACAACCTCTCTTTTCCTCTGATACTCCATCCCAGAGCTGATGTTTGGTGCTTGGGATGGGAGAAACACCATGGCACTATGTTGCAGCTGTGGGTGTTTAGTTCCTCAAGCAATCTCTGTAAGAAACTTCCTTTAGCTGCATTTCACCTCTAGGTTTTCTTTGCCATCATAAGACCCAGTGTGCTATCTGTATCCTCTGATATATATGATACAGCAGTATTTTATGCATGGAAGTAAAAAACCCACCTGCTTCTGACACAGCATTATCATTAAAATTAAATGGAGCCACTAAAGTATCTAATAAACTAGAAATTAATTAGCTGGAATAATAGCTTCATTGCTCCTAATAATTTTTTTTTAATTCTTGGTTATCAGCAAAAAGGCTTTTTTTTCTGTCTGCATGTTACTATTTATAAGTTATTTTCTATAATTTAATTTCAGCTTGCTAGTGCAACTGCGACCTTTCAAGGATTTAGATGTTGAGGAGCACATAAAAGAATTTGCAGCAAAGTTATTTTTAATACCCAGCCCGCCACCAGGACCACTCCACTTGGTAATTACTGATGCTGAATTTCATAATTACTTTAACATTATGTCTTAGAAAGCACTAAGATGTTGTTTTCTATAAATTGGGGGACGTTCACTGTCAGGTCAGAGGTTGTACTTGCTGATATAAAACTGATGTCAATACCTGTGCTTTGAAAATAAGGCTATGCATTATTAGTACATAAAATAACAGTGTGACCAAGGTGCAGGCTTGGGCACTGGCATGCCAGTTGGTTATGCTGTTTAATTTTTAATACTCTTCTGGGAAGGATTTGACTCATGCCAACTATTTACTGTCTGAGATGATGCCTGGGTAGGTCTGGGGACAGCATAATCTAGCTTTTGGTTTCTTGAGGGGCAGCCCACGTAATCTCTACTACAAGCAGTTGGAAGCTCCAGTCTGTAATTACTCTATAAGAATGGAAGCTTACCTTTCACCTGCACAGTATGGCATTGCCATCTCACTAAATACACATGTATAAACTCCAGTAAATGATGTAACTATCACTCAACTAAAGTGTGGGAGTTCCCTTTCTTGTGTCTGATATCAAGACATGCTGCCTGATGTGGATGCTCATGGCTGTCATCCTGATTGTGTGATGGGTGGACGTGCAGTGCAGCTGTGTGACTGAGAAGTAGTGCAGTCCCTGTGAGAGAAAAGAGGCCAAGGAAATCAGTTGCTGGAACAACACGTACAGCTCTGGACTTGTTCTTTTCTTCTGTCTAAATGACTCTGGGGAAGCAGAACAGTGTGCAGTGGATTTAATGTTCTGGTGAGCAGATTAAATGTTCTGGATTGGCTGCTGCCTGCATAAGACCTAGCTGAGAGGAGAAACTCACATAAACATTTGTGTTAGTGTAGAAGCTGAGATGTGTGGGCTGTATTTTCTTCTTTATAACCCTTCCCAAGTCAAGCTAGATGTTAGCTGAGTCAGTGATTTCACCACACTCTTTTGTCTACTGAAATGGCTTCTAGGGAGGCAGTGCTTCAGCCACGGACTTCTCTTTAGCTGGTTTCCTTGACTTGGTATGAGGGGTTAGGAGCAGAGGAAGAAATAGCGTAGCTGGAAAATTGTCTGAATGACTGGCTAAACCAGCTGCTAAGTGCTGGAATATGCAGCATGTGCAGGATCTGGCCCCCAGAGATTTGAGCTGGAGTATTTGAAACACTGAAAGAGCTCATTCATTTTGGCTTGTTCTATCTTCTTAACGTGAGCACCTATGCTCAGTTATTTTGTTCATATCTTTTCTATTTCCTGTATGAGTTTTAGCAATACTTTTATTTCCCAGTTTTATCTACAAATATAAATTCCATTATTTGATTATGCTTATAACAAAGCAAGTTTAATTCTCTTAAAAGAATATATATATATTTGAAGTTTTATTGCCTAAACAGCCTATGAGAATGAAAGGAGACAAAGTCCATGCTAATCTTTCAAACTAGTTATTATGTCTTTTCCTATTTCCCTTTCTTTCTATTTCAGTTTTCTGCAGTATGCAAATACCTGTCTTCTTGTTCTCAATGTTAGCATTTTATAGTTGGAACTGAAATCCCGAATTAAATGTGTTGTGGGAATGTTTTCATTAAGAAATAAATGGAAAACATCTGTTATTACAGGTATTTAATATGAAACCACTTCAAATAATAATTCCTTCACGAGAGGATCCAGACAGTCCAATTATTGACTTGGATCTTCATCTTCCGTTGCTGTGTTTCAAGCCAGAGCAGGTGCTGCAGGTAAAACTAACTGATGCTTTAAAATGTATTAGAGATTGACAGTACTGGTAATTTGTGGTTTAGAAAAAATCAAGACTTTTAGTTACCCAAAAACCATTATAAACCCAGGAATTCAGAATAGTGTTAGTTCTGCATATTAGAGATATGGCACAATAAAATACAGTTCTTATTAAGATATTTTGTTGTGTATAGACCAGATTAGATTAAGGCATATTGGATTTTTTTCTCCTGTGGGTCAGCAATAAGTGCTAAATTTCTTAAGAGTATATTTTAAAATATAAAGACCCAAGCTGATTGACAGATTTTGTTTTGAATTCTCATTACATGCATTTCTACAAGATTCATAAGAACCTTTTTCATGTGTAAGAAAGGGACCTGCAGGATGGATTGATAACAGTTGGCCCTCTCATATAAATGAAGTGTAAATGGTGTAGAAAGACAAGAAAATACAAAAAACTATTTGCAAAGAATTTTTTGGGTGCTTCATAGCATCTTACAATAATTTTGGCTTGGAGTGTCCTTTGTATGTTTCCTGATTGAATTCCCTGCTCAAAGGCCACCTGTGAAGTTAAATTAAGTTGCTCAAGGTCATCAGTATTATTGGTGCCACTTCCTCTAAAAAGAGCACATTGGAGGCCTCTTTCCAGGGATGATTGTAAACCTCCTCAGTCCTAAGAGTAGGTAGTACTAGCTTATTTTTTGGGATTCTGCCCACATGTGTACGTTGTGAATGAAATTATCTCAAATCCTAAATGGTCCTCTGCAATAGGTGCATCTTGAGCATGGAGTTTTACATGTTAGTATCTCTGTGAGATGTCCCATGTATGCCATTAGTTGTCTTGGCTAGAATTCATCCCACCTAACTTGAGGCATCTGAATTTGGTGCTTAGATACCATTGGGTCCCTTTCTACCAGTGGAAAACAGTGGACATCTCCAGATAGCTTCCTGAATTGTTCTGTGAAAGTACTGCTCTCCAGTGGCACTATAAGGAACCTGACTAGCTATCATTTGGAATAGATGTTTGGCTGAGATGTCTAAAACCTAGATTGTCTTTGTGTTCACCATCAAAGACAGGTTTGCTTATATTCTTCGTCTGGGTACTTTTTACAGGCATTTTATGGTCTAATACTGTGGAAGAAAGGTGACAGGTCTTCTCAGTAATTCCAGCTAAATCCTGACTTAGTTGACATTGGTGGCAAAACTCTCAATGACTTCCACTGTTACTTAAATTTTCTCTCCTTTTCTGTTTTCTTCTCTTAGTTTTGTAAGAATCCTTAAGTGGACATTCTTTCCATTTATAAACATTTTAAGGTAGCTATTAAAAAACAACTTGTGAGGCTGAGCTTCACAAGCTGATGAAATATTTGTGCATATCTAGTATGTTCTAGATATAACTCTTCGTAAACATTTAGCATTTTGTTTTTTTCCAGATTATGACCTGTATTTTGACTGAGCAGAGAATAGTTTTCTTCTCTTCCGACTGGGCTCTGTTGACACTCATTGCTGAATGCTTTATGTTGTACCTTCATCCTCTTCAGTGGCAACATACTTTTGTGCCTCTTCTGTCTCGTCAAATGCTGGATTTTGTAATGGCCCCAACATCTTTCCTTATGGGATGTCATATTGATCATTTTGAAGAAGTTAGCACGGTATGTTTTAGACTATTACTAGTCTTGCTGTTCACTTGCAGTGCGTTTGACCCCTTACTTCTTTCAGATGCATCTAGAAACTTGCTTTTGTTATTTAGGTGTGTGAGAAGTGAAGAAATTGGAGGTAATGGAACCATACCGATGTGACCACTGGCTTATTGGAAAAAGCTTATTGTTGTATTCCTTACCTTTCTTTTCTTTGCAGGATAATATCATGATTTTTGCGAGTTCAGGTTCCATTTGGGGAAAAATTTTACTTGCGTGTCATTTGTATAGTATAATAGTTTCCCTTCAGACCAGTGAGGTTATTTTTTGCCCAGAGTTGTGCGGGATGAATTAGGTGTCTTTTCCAGGCATTTGGCTTAAGAATTGAGCATGCACTTGAAAATACTCTAATGATGCTGCTGTTCCCCGTAGTGGAGTTCAGTATTTAATAAAGTAAGAAAAAGCAATGTAAAGAATATAATCTCACAATTTTTCTGAAGGTTTTTTGGTCGTCTTTTTTCAGAATCTTGTTTAACTAAGCCTCTTTCAGTGGGTAACATTAATCTTGGTTACCCAAAAAGATTTAAGAAAAACAGCTTCACAGTGGAGCGCTAGTGTGAATATACTTTTGAGAGTGTCACATAGGGTTTCTGTGAGTATTCAAAATCAAACACAGAAAAATTGTGTAAATTTATATTGGATGAATCCATCTGTTTATAAGCCAAAGTGAAACCGGTCCATCTAGGCAAGTCCAAAATGAAGCAGATAAATGTTTTATTTTAGTTAGCAGTAAGATGACGTCGCTATGAGAAATAAGTACAGATTAGAGAATGCACTTTCCTTTGATATAATTTGAAAGATTTTGTTTGCTTATATAAACACTGTGTTGCAGACTCATCTTTAAGGTTATTAAAATTGCAAACTGAGAGATCAGCATGGGCTTTACCTCTATGTGACTTTTTGTGCATTAGCGTGTGTTTTGGTGTTTGAGACTAATATATAAACCCTCCCTCTCCCTGTCATCCTGTGGGCTAAGTAAGGAGTAAATGCTGAATGGAGAAAGCTATCCAGGAGCTTCTTTGTGTACATATATATAGTTTTATACATATCCTCATAATGTATAGCTTTTCAAGGATGGGCTTAGAGATCCAGTATTAATTTAATACCACATGAAGAGCATATTAGGTTCCTAAATGTTTATGTACTGAGATTAATATACATTAATTTAATGACATTTATTTTTCTTGAAAGTAATTGTTTAATTATCCATACAATCTTTTAGTTGTGGGAAAAAAGTCAATCCTTTTCTGCTTTACCTCCTTGCTGAAATAATTCATTGTCTGAGGAGTACATAAAGGAGAAGTAAATGTTTTTGCAATGTAAGTGTATTTACAGTCATTCTATTTTCTTTTGTTAAAAGGAAACTGAAGATTTAATTCTAATTAATATAGATAATGGAGATATTACACATTCAAAAATGACTGAAGAGGAACTTGAAATTCCAGATGTTCCAGCACAAGCAGCGGAAACTTTCATAAAAAGGTGAAAAGATGTTGAAGTTGTGTTTATCTTGGTGCATAAATCATGCTTGACACTCTAAGTTTTTATTTTGTATTATTTATTATTATATTATTTCATTCATATAAAACCCATTGCATTTGATAAGGGCAAACTGAAAATTTCAATTAATTAATATACAGTAACTTTAGTCATAATCATAACCATATTTTGCAACACCTGGAATGCTTGTTTCTTTTATATTACTGATATGGAGTATTCCCTGAACTTTACTGTTCTTTACAAAAAATCTGTGATTTACATGTACTAGTAGGACTTCCAGGAATCTTGTTAGCTTGTCAACACTTGCAAATCAATCTTGCACTTGCTCTAACTGTAAGATGCGTGAGGCCTAAATGACTTGTTTCTTTAAAAGGTATGAAAAAAATTGTTGGTGTTGGCATTTAACTTGATAATTTTCTTTTCTGTGTAGAGTGGAGAGTCTTCAGCTGCATTATGATCTAGAGCTCTGCCATCTCCGAGCCAGCACAGATCTCGGTGAACTCCAAATGCGTAGAAGGGCTTGGCAACAGAAACTGAATACGGAAGTTCAGCAAATGACTTTGCAGTTAATTGTTAATATCTTCAGGTGAGGATAGAGTATTTTTTATTATAAGAGCATATGATACTGGTTAAGACACTTCCACTGTCACTGAAATATTCTTATTTTGTCTGTCTTTATAGATATTTAGTATCTCTCTTAAGTTTTGTGGGGGAATATGAGAAGGAGGTCCTGCTAGCATATCAATAATTAATGTATTCAGGTACATACACATTGCTAGGACATGTTAGATAAAACTGTTCTAATTTTGAACTTGTATGTCTTTTGTGTGAAGATTTCAGGAAGAGAATTGCAGTCCTCATATTTCATAATTAGGAAAAGCTTTTAAGGCCCAGTAAGGGATATCAGTTTCTAACTGGACATAGTCTTGGTCACTGTTGTTAGAGGAAAATGAATTCAAACTGGGACAGAGTAGAAGAGCTGAAAACGGGACCAGAGTTCAGAACACCTGGGTGTGTTTTGGCTAACTGAACAAATGCTGAGAATGGATGAAATATTTGGAGAGTGCAACCACATGAGAATGAAGGGGAGAGGAGCTGTTTAAGCTCAAGGACAGAGTGTTGGCACAAGAAATGCTGGGTATTGGGTGTGGTTGAGACTGACATTTTAATAAGAATGTGGAGTAGGATTTGTTGGTTTTTTTTTTTCCCTTTTCCTCTAGAAAAACATCCAACTGTGCTAATTTTCCTTGTTCTTAATCTAATGTAGTATGTTGATACCCACAGTTGCTTCATCTTATCAGTCTGGGTACTGGTTGTAAATCCTGCTATTATTTGCTTGTATTTAGGGAGGGAATGGAAGTGTGGTAGGTGATTTGTACAAAAAAGTGCAGCAAACAGATGGCTGGTTTGCATATGCTTCGTTTCTTTTTACATAGATACTAACATACTTGACCGTGAAAATGAAACCTTCTACCTGGCATTTCTAAAGAATCTGATTATATGGACAAAGTTCTGCAAATAGTTGTGCTGATAACCATCCCCACCTATTTCTTGCTGCCTCTTGCAGGAGATGGTGCTCCCTTTTGGATCAGCTACCGAATTGCTCACACGAATGCTCCCTAGCATTTTCAGTCAGAAGGTGCTGGGTTAATTTATATAGTCCAAATACCAGGTCTCCATTAATCTACTCGATTTTGTTGGATCAGCTTAGGGAGTGTTCATACAAGTGACTGGGCCCTCCAGGAGGACAATAGCTGCTGGGTGTGGAGGATAGAACAGACTTTATAGCTAGCTGGATGTGGAAACTGAAATGCATTTAAAACCTGATGTGCTACCACTGGGATTTGGTGGATTTCAGTGTGTGGCAACAATGTTCCAGATAAAGATGAGGAGAAATGCGTTTTGCTGCTAACAGCTTGAACTATTTAATGCACTAAATGCTTGGCTACAAAAAAATGAACAGATGCTTTGCTCTCTAAGCAGTAATATGTTTTGTGAAGGGGTTGATTCTTGTCTTACTTTCTTTCTCCTTTCCTTCAAACTTTCTTTCTTTGTTCTTTTTTTCAGCCTTGTTTCTTCTATCTTCTAATGCTATATCTACCAGCGTCCAGGAGTGAAGGAAAGTTCATCTCTGATGCAATTGTGCTGGCACTTGTTACTGTCTTCAGTGAAGCACTGTAGTATTTTCGTGTGCATGGAGGTTCCATGTTTAAAGCAAACAATGCTAAATTATGTAGAATTATATAGAACTATGTACTTTTACTAACCATCTTCTTTATGAACCCATATGGCTTGATAAACTGTTAATGGGCTTTTATCACTGATCTGTGAAAAGCAAGTGATGTAGAGACCTGTCAGTTCTCTGCATGGGTATGAGATCCCCCTTTTGTGCTTATATTCAAATCTTAGCTCACTAACTTATTTTCTTCATTCATGTATTTTCATGGGAATTCCTTATTCCTCAATACCCAGCGTGAGTAGATGAAATAAGATGTAATAATAAAAGGAGCCCTGATTTTAGCCACTTGCACATATCTAGCTTAAATAACTTACCATTTCTTACTCACAGACTTCATTTCAGAGAACAGCTTGTTTCTGAAAAACTCCCACGTTCTGCTCCTGAAACAAATTTTTCTGGCTCACCTTTAGGGCACAGAAGTTACTATTGAGGTCTGGTTTTCCAAGGATAGTATAGGGCTTCTGCTGCCTGCTGTGACCATGCATATACTAAATATGCATCAGTTCCTTATCTCGCTTTCTCTTTTATTTCAATAGTTCTGTCTCTTTAGTTTAACACAATTTCCGGTTATTGCTGGCTTTATGAGCCAAGTTTGAGAGTGCAGGAAAAAAATACCTAATCTATAATATTTCATGTGCATGTTACAGATGCAATATAATCGGACAGTGTGAGGTCAGATGACATCTTTCAAATTGCCTATGTGGATAGGTACACTTGTCTTTTTAGTACTCCAGATGGGTTGTATGTGATTCAGGAGCTGTGTATGTAAATGTAATTCTGGGGTTAGAGCCTAAGTCATGACTTAAATATATAGGTTCTCCTCTGTGGGTTACTAAAATTGATCCCACAGACTCTAAGTGAATTGCTGATTTGAAATGGCAGTTGCAGCAGGTAGCCCATCTTACTTATTGTAAGAGTTTGCATTCTTTTTCTATGATTCAGTAACTCAGACTTGTTCATTACAACTGAGTTTGCCTTCTGATACTGCAGCATATTTCTGTTTTGCCTTCTGATGCTGCAGCGTATTTCTAGTAGTAACAGTGGGCTGCCGCTACTGCAAAAGTGCGACTTGCTTACAAATCTCCAAGCATATTTATCTTATGTATTTATTTTTGTCTCCAGGGAGGTAAAAGACCATCTAAATTATGAACATAGAGTGTTTAACAGTGAAGAATTTCTGAAAACAAGGGCAACTGGAGACCAGCCATTTTACAAAAAGGTAAATTCAGTATTAAATATGTTGTGATTCTCTGTTATTAATCTGTATTTTAGGATTAATGCCAAATATTAATAGAATGGTCACAGTTCAGTCTGTGTGGTGGTGTTGAACCACCAGCTTTCACAGAATGCTTTATGAAATTTATTTGATTTACTATAAACAGGTAAAATAGTAGACAGCATTTTGGAGAGCAAGGTACTATGTAATTCCAGAGCAAATTAAATGTAGTTCCTTGGGGGTGAGATTAACCTATGGCAGATGGTCAGTAAAGCTACATCTAAATTGTATTTTAAGCGCAGGCACTTGTCCAGACTGTTTGGACTGAAGCCCATATGTAGACAGGAGTTTTCAGCAAGCCTGTGAGCACAGCAGAAGGGAGCTCATGTGACAGAAATTGAAGTACCTGCTCTATCTGCCGCCTGAGCAACAGGGCATGGAGTTGGCGGTGCCTGCTTGACGCCAGCCCGTGAACCCGTTTCTCACAATGCGTCACAGCGAACGCGTGCGGCTGACTCTGAGCACGTGAGTGGCACTGGTGTCCTTAGGGCCTGCAGTGTGACAGGGCATACGGGACATAGGTTGATTTAGCTTACATGTGCTTTACCAGGTAGTATAACTGTAGCTTACTTTTATGTGCTGGTAAAGCCCATGAAGTAATACTCAAATAGTGCATAGCCTCAGGCCAGGCCCAATAGTGCCAGAGGCTAAAGGACAACCTGAAATTTTCACATAGTTTTTCTTAGCCTTCCTGCTAACTCACCTTATTAGGTACTTATCTGAGTTTGAAACCCTGTAGGGGTGTGGAGTTTTTCCGTACAAGCCCTGAGTCCCTTTTACACCTGCCCTGATAAGCTTTATCCTTATGTTAGTGTAAGCTTGATCTGCTGAAGCTCCAAAAAGACTCAGTTTTCACCCAGTGTATACAGTGAACCAGGCTTTTATGAAGGATGCAGGTCTGTTGTCCTCTGGAGCACAGACAGTACTGGTGCATGAGTCTGCCTTTTATGTAATGGCTTTGTATATCCTAAGGTGATGGTGTGGGTTTAATTTCTCATTAAAAGGAGAGTGTCTTGGTCACCAGGCTGTAGGATTTAGAGTGATTCTCCATGCCTTTGGTGTAGGACTGTCACTGACCATCAAAGGTTGGATATCCTTTGGGTGAGAAGGAAGGAGAAAGGAAGGAGGAACAGAAGGAAAGGAGCAGGGAGAGAGAGAGACTAAGAGTATAGAGGTTCCTGTGAGAGTATCTGACAGCGTCAGGGTACTTTGCCCAGAAGTGGGAAGGTTGAGAGTTTCATCCTGGCAGTTGAGACTGTTATTTTACATTAAATTGTTTGCACCTGATTAAATTAATATTTGCCTTCAAAGAATTAAACTAAACTGTTGTGTATGTGAGAAACAGAATTTACATGTTTTAAGGGTTTGTGTCTAGCCACGTACAGTGTTCTAGGAGAATTCGGTCTTGACACAGCAAGCCAAAGTCCAAAGTTATAAACTCCTGTGATGTTTTTCAGTGTCATGATTATTAACCAAATAAAAAGTTTAGCTTAGTTAAATGAAAAAAATAATTGTTTGGAAGATTGTTGCCCTGAACTGGGAGTGTCTATGGTCAATACCTAATTTCTGAAGGGATGCCAGACATCTTTCTCAGCTTCTTGCAGCCTTTGATGCAATTTACAGAGTAGTTTTTAACACATGCTTTATGAAGTAGCTTCTTATTTTAACCAACTCTAAGACATGTTGTGCTGTTGTTTAAGCTTCTCAAAATTAAAATATTATCTTCGCTTTTTTGGTGATACTATAGCTTGTTTAATAAACCTGTGGGTCAAAGCAAAGGTTTAACAAGGACTGTAAGAAAGTGCATCTGCCATTTTACATTTACTTTTAATTATGTTCTATGGGTGCATATGAAAGTTACAGAGGTTTCCTTTGCCTCTAGAATTTGGCAGTTGCCTCTCTGGAGTAACTGTTTTATATCTGGCAAAAAGATCTGTTAATTAGTATCAACAGGCTGTGGTTGATAACAACTTTTTTGTTTCCTGTTTTGTTTGCTACTTCAAACATATAATAAGAAAAGTTTCTGAACATCCATTTAAAGGAGATGTCAGTGTGTGAAGGAAATGATCAGAAAAGTGTCTCATTTTACTTAAGTGGTAGTTGCCAAACTTTGCAGAATATCTGGCAATTCAAAGATAACAAACTGATGAATACTCAATAGGAAGCAGTGTTTGTTGGATAAAGCTTCCAACACTAGCAACCATTCTTAAAAACAAACAAATAAAAAGGAGAAATTAAAAAAAAAACTATTAATATGTCATCAGGAAAGTAATTAATCGGAAATGTTCTGACCAGGATTTCAAATTAATAGAAATAATTAAAATATTTTCAGTAGCACTTTCTAATGTTATAAATGAAATAGTGGCAATTTTATGAATTGAAATTTAAAATTCATTTAAAATTCAGATGTGCACATTTAAGAAGAGCTTTGAGCAGCTGACTCGCTTAAATACTGTAACACATTGTGGCAGCTTTGCTTTCAAGTAAATCTTAGAAGATAACACAATATGGAGTAGTTACTAGTTGTATCTAGAATTATATTAAGAGAACTCCAGAAGCTATTAGAAAGGACTCTTTCAGTTCCTGCAGCTTGTCATCTCCTGTACATAAAATTGCTAACAAAATATGCCATCTACTGGAGAAATACTTAAAAGCAGAAATCTTGATGCTTTTGCAGATGCCATTTTACAGCATGCATTGCAAATGGATTGATAAGAGGCACCTTGAATAAGAATAACCTATTTGTTTGTGAAATATTTCTATTAATTTCAGAATACCTAGATTACTTACGAATCTTTCTCATTTGCTTTTTAAAAACATCATAGAACTACACTGATGTCTGATCAGTGGGTATTTTGGGTTGTTGGCGTGGTTTTCTTTTTTTCGGTCCTGTGACAAACTCCAAGACTAACAAGGGTACTTTAGGCAAGCCTCTGGGATATATCATTAATCAAAGTAATTTTTCATAGTTACATTCAAAGATACAACTGTCTTTCTGTTAGTAAGTTTGTAGAGGCTGGAGGCTGTATAAACATAAAGACAGGATTCCTGGTTATAACAATATTGTCTCCTGATGAAGTTTGCATTTGATTTGCTGAATGGATTAGTTTTCTGAATTGTTTATTGCAAACAATACTAAAAGCCCTGTGCTAGAACTAACATTCGTGTAGTCCACATGTTGTATTGCCTCAAATCCTAGCTTTCATCTTGTTCTAATTTGCGGTGGTGGGAGATGGTAGCTTTCCACTCTTTTTAATTCACACTTGGCATTTTTTATGGTGTCCTCTATCCTAAAAGTAGCAATTTGACCTTTTAGAAATTATTTCTGGATGATACCACGATAATTATGTGAGCAGGGGACAATTTTGGGGGTTACCAGGAGAAAAGATGACTCACTTGTCTTTTCAGTTTGATGGCATAATGTTAATTTAGAGTGCCACAAACTTCTTATTCCAAACCATAGACAATATTATCAAACCTTAGTTGTAGGCAGAAAATATACTGTTAAACTTGTAGCTAAAACTCTCTGTTTTGCTCAGTATTTCTCATTTTTGTTTGGTTTCCTCTTTTGGAGGGCCATCTGAGATTACTGTTTGCTACTAAGCAAATATCATGCAAGTACAGAAGGTGAATGGAAACTGAGTTAGTCTTCTGTTGTTGAAGCTTTCAAATATTTTTGGTTTTGTGATTGCTAAATTGGAAGTTCTCAGCTTTGCATATGTAAAGGTAATAAAAATGAGCAAAACATGATAATAAAAATGTAATTGTAAATGATCCACAGTTAACCAGTTTGTGTTTCACAGGTTTTAGAGACCTACATGTTTCACTCTTTTCTTAAAGCTCGTCTGAACAGAAAGATGGATGCTTTCGCTCGACTTGAGTTGAGTACCCAGTCTGAAGAGGATAGGTAAATTTTTCTCATTCCTTTTTTCTGGTTTTGAACCTTCTGTTGATGTCAGTGATAAAAGTCCTTTTGACTCTATTGGTATGAGATCAGGTCATCTATGAGTAAGATTGACTAATTGATAGGCCATTTTATTAAGCTTACTGTAGAAGGGTGATAGGAACATGTCCAGCCATGGCTGTTGAAATTGTAAATTGGTACTAAATTGTAATTTAACACTATTGTACAAAAAAAAAATAAAATCAGTAATTTAGTGTGTATGTATACTGAATTTTAAAACTAGTTATATATTATTTTTATTTTTCTCAGATTAAATTTGATGTTTCATACTCCAAGAAGACTGACTATGGAGAAAATAGCTTCTAAACGATTTAATCCACAGTACATGATTAGTAGGCGTATGGTAATCAGTATGCCTAATCTACAAGATATCAAGCTGCCAGAGGGCCCTGCTAGAAATTCCTCACTTCGAAGAATAGAACCAAGTGTTGGTAAGGGAAGAATGTGTTGAACAAGTACAGTGTCTTTTCTGTTGTCTTTATGGGTGACATCACTGAATAATGTTCACAGAAACAGTGTCAGATGCTGGAAAAAAATGGTGAGCTGAGTCATCTTGAGCTGGGGCTCATCTGTGCTGCTTCTTGCATGTTAACTCAGTCGGTAGCCTGCTCTAAGTTTTGCTGTACCAGAAAAGACTGATTGGTCACAATAGGATTGATATTGGAGAATTACTTCCTGAGTCGGTAACCATGTTCAGTCCTCACCCACCTTATGTCCAGGTCTCTACTACCTTTAAACATAGGTGTGGTGGGTTGACCCTGGCTGGTCATCAGGTGCCCACCAAAGCTGCTCTGTCACTCCCTCCCTCGCTGGACAGGGGAGAGAAAATATAATGAAGGGCTCATGGGTCTAGATAAGGACACGGAGAGATCACTTGCCAATTACTGTCATGGGCAAAACAGACTTGACTTGGGGAAAACTAATTTAATTTATTACCAATCAGATCAGAGTAGGGTAATGAGAAATAAAACCAAATCTTAAAACACTTTCCCTCCGCCCCTCCCTTCTTCCCAGGCATAACTTCACTCCTGAATTCTCTACCTCTTCCCCCCGAGCAGCACAGGGGGACAGGGAATGGAGGTTGAGGTTAGTTCTCTGCCTCAGCTGTTTGTGCTGCTCCTTCCTCCTCAGGGCCAGGACTCCACATGGGGGAAGACCCTGCTCCAGCATGGGGTCCCTCCCACCAGGAGATGGTTCTCCATGAAGTTCTCCAACATGAGTGCTTCCCACAGGCTGCAGTTCTTCATGAACTGCTCCAGTGTGGGTCCCTTCCATGGGGTACAGTCCTTCAGACGCAGACTGCTCCAGCGTGGGTCCCCTGTGGGGTCACAAGTCCTGCCAGCAAACCTGCTCCAGTGCAGGCTCCTCTCTCCATGGGTCTTGCCAGGACCCTGCTCCAGCACAGGCTCTCCCATGGGGTCACAGCCTCCTTCGGGCATCCACCTGCTCTGGCATGGGGTCCTCCCCGGGCTGCAGGTGGAGATCTGCTCCACCATGGACCTCCCTGGGCTGCAGGGGGACAGCCTGCCTCACCATGGTCTTCCCCACGGGCTGCAGGGGAATCTCTGCTCTGGTGCCTGGAGCATCTGCTCCCCCTCCTTCTGCATTGACCTGGGGGTCTGCAGAGTTGTTTCTCTCACATATTCTCACTCCTCTCTCCAGCTGCAGTTTCTGTTCTGCAACAACTTTTTCCCCTTCTTAAATCTGTTAGCCCAGAGGCGCTGCCACCATTGCTGATGGGCTCTGCCTTGACCAGCGGCGGGTCCGTCGTGGAGCCGGCTGGCATTGGCTCTGTTGGACATAGGGGAAGCTTCTAGCAGCTTCTTACAGAAACCATCCCTCTAGCCCCCCCTGCTACCAAAACCTTGCCATGCAAACCCAATCCAGTAGGTTTAGGCTTATCACTGTTTAACAAAGCAAGTCCTATAGAAACTGCACAGGGGCAGGGGGTTCCCTTCTTTTTTCTTCTCCTTTATTTTTTTTCTTTTTTTTTTTTTTGTTTTGTTTTGTTTTGTTTTGTTTCCCAGAATTGATATTATCAGATTAGGGAATATGCTGATAATGAGGAAGATGAACATAGAAATATATTTGTGTCCCTAGCACACCTGTAATCTTACTTGAATTTCATGCAATGTAATTACTTGTTGCTGTGATGGGGATTCTTTTTGTTTGTAGTATTGCTGGTTGTGAAGATACTCGCACTTTTACTCACTGCTTATACTAATCAATACAGTTTTTGTTTGTTTGTTTGTAGCTGTGAAAATGCCGTCAAAATCAGTCAGTACATTCAAAATCCCAGAAATTCACTTTCCTCTGATGTTCCAGTGTGTTCACTCCTACTATACAGACTTCTTCAACCATCTCAGCAAAGCTATAAATACCTTACCACCTGATAACTCAGCATTACTGGCAAGGTACTTCTACCTCCGGGGACTTATTAGCTTGATGCAAGGGAAACTACTAAATGCACTTTCTGACTTTCAGAACCTAGATAAAACAGACTTAAGAATTTTTCCTACTGATCTTGTAAGAAAAGTAGTGGAAACTATGCCTCCTTCTGAGCGTTTGCAAGCAGACCGCAAACCTGAGCTGAAAAAGCTGATAAGTCGAGTGATGGAAAAACAAAGAGAAGTTATGAAAATAGATGACCATGTAAAAAATTTTGAATTGCCAAAAACACATATGCAACTGGATGATTTTGTGAAGCGAATCCAGGAATCTGGGATTGTCAAAGATATAGACACTATACATCGGTTATTTGATGCCCTAACAGTAGGTGAGTATAAGATACGTTTTTAGTGACCATCTACATTGGTGCAATGACAACTTCAAACTGTTTTTTTTATGAACCAAAATAAAATTTTTGTCTCCAGTTGTTTTTAATTATTATTCAATATTTTCTGGGCCTCTAAAGACTCACAATATGTGAGCTGTATGGACAATTTTATTTAATTAGGATAATTACAGAGAATAGATTTAATGCATACAAGAATGTCTATACTTGCATCCACAATAAAGACAAGGAATCTACTTAAATGTGGGCACACAATTTATAATTTTTCATGTTGTGTAGGTGAGGTAGTTTTGTGATCTGATGGTGTGCGGTTCTGCTTTGGCTTAGATTATGAGTACAGTGAATACAAGACTGTCCTAACTGCTAATGGAAAATACCTCTGTGTTACAGAACCACGAGGTAACATGGCAAGGTGGCCATCGGTTAAAAATAAACTAACAAAATCCAGAATTCAAGTAATTACAGTTAAATTCCTCTTGGATGGTCATCATAGCAAAAGGAGAGGTTACATTTATATTTGAGAGAACTTTCTTCTCTTCTGAGTGAGGTTTGAATCTTGTGATTGATTTCTAAAAACATAGTTTGAGAGTGCTTTTATAAAATGCGATTCAGTTCTCTTTCTGTGCCTAGTTACTCTAGTAACTGTTATGTTTTGTGGTCATAAAGCATTAAATGTTGGTCGAAATAGCAAAACTATAGCAAGACTTTCTGAAGGCAGAGGTAGCATACATCTCACAAGAATTTGTGTGTGTTTGAGATTCTGCTGTCTAAACAGTTGAATTCTTAGAATAATTAATTACTCAGAATACTGGTTGCTCAAGTCTTTAAATGTTACAACTTTAGCTTTTATCCCATGTTGGTAAGTATATGATATAGTAGTATTCAACAGAATAAAGAACTGGAAAGTCATAATGAAAAGTATTCAGTTCAGTAGGGAAGTACAAATCCTTTCCCATTGGCTGACTGGATTTTTGGCATTAGTTTAAAAAAGTAAGACTGACACAGTGTTTGCTCCCTCCCTCCGCAGAGCAGGGTGGAAGGGAGGACGCCAGATGCATGGGACCTGTGGCCTAGGCTAACTGCAGAGGAATCTTTCTATGTCAAGAGAAGAATTTTGTCTCTTAACTGTTTTTCAGGCCTACTTTTTTGTAGTTTTTGCACCTTGCTTACCCATTATGCTGTTAGAGGCTCGATTAGAAAGTTAGTATCTTTTTAAAGCTATCTTTCTGTGTAAATCTGTATAATAGTTTCTCACAGTAAACAGGTTTTAAAAATTTTTTAGGACATCAGAAACAAATTGATCCTGAAACATTCAGAGATTTCTACAACTACTGGAAAGAAACTGAAGCAGAAGCTCAGGAGGTGAATCTGCCACCAACAGTTATAGAGCATCTAGATAAAAATGAATGTGTCTACAAATTATCCTGCTCAGTTAAAACTAACTATGGTGTAGGAAAAATAGCTCTGACCCAAAAGCGCTTGTTCCTTTTGACTGAAGGAGGACGTCCTGGCTATGTCCAGATTGCTGCTTTCAGGGACATAGAGGTGAGCATCAAGTAACTTGTTGTTCTCATGCATGCTTGTGGATATAGGCCATGTTCCATTCTGCAAAAAGATCTGTCTCTCAACTTAAAGTTTCAGTAAGGAGTGTAGGAAACACCTCTGAAATCAGTAACTTATGAGTGATTAGATAAAATTCTGGGTCTTTACACCAAACATTTCAGAGCGGATGTAGTACAGTTTGCTAGGTGCTAAGGTGACATAGAATAAAAATCTAGAGATCATAACCTATAGATGTACAGAAATGTGTGAAGTGCAGCACATGGGATACAGAGCTGGAGAAGTTTAATAACATGAGCATTAAGTGTGCTTATTTGACTGTGGTGCCAGAGAGCCAGCTTGAATCCACTGTGGAGCAAAGGCTATACGATGTTGTTTGGAACTTATATTTTCATAAAACCGTCTCTGCTTAACGGTGTGTACGGACAATTGAAATATTTAGTTGTAGTTAGAAATTGAGAAAGTTGCCCTGTAAGATGAGTGCTGCACCTTATCTGTGATTGCATGGTACACTCTCCTTGTTTTCTCTTTTTCATACCTTTCCAGGATGTTAAGAGCACAACTGTAGCTTTCCTTCTTTTGAGAATACCTACTCTGAGGATTAAAACATTATCTAAAAAAGAAGTCTTTGAAGCTAACCTTAAAACTGAGTGTGATCTCTGGTACCTGATAGTGAAAGAAATGTGGGCTGGAAAGAAAATGGCAGATGATCACAAGGTATAAATATGGGAATTTCTAACCAAATAAGTATGAAGTATGTGCTTTCTGTCTCTGTTCTAAATAATTCACACACCAATCTTAGTACTTCTAGGTGTCAGCAAACAATAGCTAAGTAATACACTTTTATTTTTGCTGTTACTTCTAAATATACTACTTCCGGAATAATAATAATGAAAAAGATTACATTTAAAAATATAGGATATTTTTTCTCATCCGTTGGCATGGAACTTTTAGTTTAGTCAGTAGTTCTGTGAAATAGTTTCTGAAGTCCACAATGTGTGAGAATAGTGATCTTAACGAACAGAAAATTTTCCCCACCTTGCTTCAAAACATAATGCATAGAAAGTGTTTTGCCATGCTGGAAGCCTGGTGACTATAGATCCTTTCAATGAATAGAGCAAAATATATTCTTCTGCCACAGAAACCTTGAGAAAAAGGATAATTTGAGCAGGTTTTCCATTTAAACCACATAATTCTTCATGACTGCTGAATTTAATAGTGAAAATGTAGCTTGGTGCTTCTTCAGGAAGGATTTGAATCATTTTAGCCAAGATAAAGCATAATGCATACTTCCCTCCCATGAAGAAAGATCCAGCCTGAAAATGGGTATCCATCCTATGTCCGCTGTATGTTTTCCATCACTGCCATTCATATGGGGTTTTTTTGCATATCCTGTATCAAGTATGTGTCAGATCTGAAGTATTCTTTCAGTGTAATGAATTAACACTGGCTCCTGGCTGTCTGCTCTGTGACCTTGCTTGAGAGTGGAACATGTGATGTGGGAGTGGGGTTTGACTGCAAGTAGCATGTATTATGCTGCAGGGCAGCAACTGGCTAGTGCTTTTGCTAAGCATGACGTGTTGTGATTGTTGAACATGGAGACTTGTAAGAATAAAGAGCAATAGATAAACTACAGTAAGACTTTTGTCTTCAGGATCCCCAGTATATTCAGCAAGCACTGACAAATGTTCTCCTGATGGATGCTGTGGTTGGTGCCCTGCAGTCCTCCAAAACCATATATGCAGCCTCTAAGCTGTCTTATTTTGACAGGATGAAAAATGAAGGTCAGTCACATAGCAGTGCTACAAAGCCTGCTGTTATTGCATCATCTGTCTCATCTCTTTCTGTTTATATTCTGGTTTTCAAACTGATTATCTGTAGAAATATAAAACCACGGTAGTCTGATTGCACTTTCACAGATGTAGCTTATTGAATAGTACTAGAAAGCTTAGGTTTTTGTTTTGTTGGGTTTTTTTTGTTTGTTTGTTTTTGTTTTTTGCTTCTGTGCATCAGAACCTTAGTTGGTATGTCTGTCTCCGTGTTGGATACTGTGTTTTTGTTTCGGTTGTTTAGACTGCTTGGGTATTGTATGCATGCTTCTGCTACCAAAACTCATACAAATGGTGTTTGGGCTCTCCTAGTCAGGCTAGAGGGAAAGAAAAGTGAGAAATGTGAATAAATGGTGCAGAATTCTTATTTTGTAAGAATTATAGATCTATTTTCAGTTTAAGTGTGCACTTCATGACCTTTTAAAAATCTATTTTAGTGCCTATGATGGTCCCCAAAACAACTTCAGAGACATTAAAGCACAAGATCAACCCCTCAGCTGGTGAGACATTTCCACAGGCAATAGATGTCTTGCTTTATACACCAGGTAAGGTGATGTATTGCTTTCTTTATGTTAGCCCAGCTTTAATTAGCCTGTAAAGCATGTTATCTCCTAACACCTGGTATTATGACTGCCTGATTTTGTTCACATTCTGACATGCTTTGGTAGTGTGTTGAATACTAAAACAGAAAATCATTAAAAAAGAACAGTAATATTGCATATTGAGATACTCCAAGGCATAGTTTTCACAGTCTTAATTTGTCTTCCTGTGTGTATATGCCTTATAATAGACTTCAATTATGTGTTAATGTGCCGATTTCCCATTAAGACTTCTGCCTCATTTATTGAGCAGGGTGGATGAATGATGCTCCACCATTGATCAATATTCATTGTTATTTTTTTATTTTTCAGTAGAGTCATATGGGGTATTTGGTTGAACCACAGTCCAGGGAATAGTGTACCACCTCTTGAAATCCCAGCCAGACCTATAAGCCCGTGACTCTCATTGTATAGTATGTGACCTAATGTACTATTCATCGCATGTAATTTAAGTCCATCCCTGAAGAAAGCAACATCAATTTCCGTGTGAGCTTTTCTGCGATACTTGGCACATTTATATCTGACTAATTCAAAAAACATTGGAGAAAAAAAAGTTAAAGACTGTGTGCAATGGGCATGAATTTAGGTAGCAGATATGTTAGTTCTGGAAGTTCCTAACTCTTAACTTCATAACCTTACTACTCTTCTGATGTAAGTTCCTATGTAATTCCTAGTATTTGGGCAATTTGAGACAAAAGGGGAAAGTTGGTGGAATTCCAAAGTTAAGGAAGTGGGCAGGAGCAACTCTGTGTGGGTGGGTGGTGGTGCTTTTCTTTCTTTGTAATATGAGGTTTCTAAGTGGAGCTCTAATGGAGCAGTTAGAATCCATGGATTTATTAGTTGTATTTCATAGGGCTTAAAAGTCTTCCTGCAATGCCAGTTAGCTAAGTACTTAGTCATCAGTGAAAAAGGTTATCTCTGCTCTGTAAGATTAAATCATCAAGTGAGCTCAATGAATAGATGAGAACGAGCACAAATTCATTGTGAAAATTGTGTCATTCATTAACTGGTGATATAAGTTCCAGAACACAGATGTGTTTTGGTAGAAAGCTGCTCTGCCTAATAATGGTTTTCCCATGTGTCTCCAAAAGTGGTTTATTTTCTTTTACCTCTCTCATCTTCTCTGCTTCATTTCTAGGGCATCTTGACCCTTCAGAAAGACCTGGCAATGCTCATCCAAAACTATGGTGTGCTTTAAATGAGGGGAAGGTGGTGGTCTTTGATGCATCTAGCTGGTCTATTCAACAACACTGTTTCAAAATGGGCCGCTCTAAGCTGGTAAGACTGACACACATACCACAATTGCTGCTTTAGCTTGATGTTTTTGTTGCTATAGCTTATATGACCCTGCACTGCCATTCCCTAAAAGTTGTAGAAAGACACTTGAGTTGCTTGGGCTTCAGTTAACTTGGAGAAATGGAGATTTTTGAGAAAAAGGGAGAGGAGAGAAAATGAATTCATAATGAAACAAGTCAACTGGTGAGAAGTGATGGATTGGATGTTGGGAGGGCCTGCTGGCCTAATAGTCTGGGTTCTTGGGGCAGGAAGTCAGGCTTGAAACAGTTGAGGAGAAAGAGTAAGAGAATCAATATAAAGAGAAGATGAGAAGGGGAGCCCTAAGAATAGATGAAAAGTCAGCTGTGCTGAAGAATTGGAAATTGGGGACAGGTGTAAGGAAACCAGATGGATGATATTGAAAGAGAGAGAGCACTCTAAAAGAAGATGACTCAACCAGCAGGTTAAAGAGAGTTGTTGCTTGTTACACCTGGAAAGAGTAACTCACTTGATGAAAGGGGAAGCTGAACCAGAGCTGCAGACGGAATGAAAAACACACAGTACGGAGAACATGCAGGAAAACAGATTGGATAGGTCACTTGTGTGAAAGCTGAGAAACATTGTTGTGGATGAGTGTGGGAGAGAGTCCAAAAGGGAGAGGTAAAGCTGATGGTGAAGAGCTGGGTGGAGGGAAGATGGAAATCCAGAAGAGTCAGATACCAGCTTATTCTAAAGAAGATAAAGAAAAGAGGAGGAAAGTTTGGAACTGATGGGACTGAGGAGGGAGAGAAATAAAGAGCTTCTGAATGAGGGAAGGATGTTCCAGAGACAGTAGAGAAGGCAATATTTTCTTAGACACTACTTCTAGTTGAAGTAGGAAGTATGTTTGTATGAGACAACTGGGATGGCTTCCAATCCGGAAAAGAGAGCTATACTAACTTCTGTGGTTTCCCCTGATGCCCTTTGTAACTTTTACTTTGTTTCGGCTAGGAAACACAGCTTTGAGACAGTTACCAAGATATATTATTAATGCCATTTAACGAAGGATAAACTTGGCAAAGAGATTTGTCCTCTCTCATTATTTATAGAGCAAAGGATAGGATACTGGAGTGAGCACCAAGTCTTGATCTCGTACTGTAATCACAGAAAACTGCAGCATCTTAATATAGCCTTTTTCCATGTTACATTAAAGAGTGATTTTTTTCTAGATTTTATTTAATCCTGTTTTTTCTCCCCAGACTTGTATGATCATGGTAGAACAGAGTCATGTGTGGATCGGTTCTCAAGACTCCATTATTTACATAATCAACACCCACAGTATGTCTTGTAATAAGCAACTAAATGATCATCGTTCTGATGTTACAGACATCATTGTGGAGAAGAAGAATGGAATACCCAGGTATATTTAATTAAAATGTTTTCTTCTTAAAAATACATATAGAAGCAAACATGAAGAACGTCTGTACCACCAGAAGAGTCATGGACATGTGGAGAATCTTCCTGTGGTTAAACAGCCATTTTATGTAGCTAGAACAGTATTCACCAGCCTTAGAGAATTTGGCGCACAGTGAGCAGATCCAAATTACATAGTATTATGCTTTAATTATTTGACTGACTCAAAGGTGAAAAGTTAACTTGTGCTCAAGGAAAAGGAGCCCATAGAGGAAATCAGTGAGTGATTTTCCTAGATGTTGGAAAGAATTTATTGTTTTAAATGGTGGCAAGGGGGGTTTATCCTGCTAACATAAGCCTTCATTTAACTTGTTTTTGTAGCTCCCATATTGTATGTGGTAAACTAAGAATTTTGTTTTTAAAGAAAGAGCATTATGTACTTTAGAACAAAGAGGATAAAGGAATGCTTTTTTGGACAAGGATGAGAGCAGCCAGGAGTTGGCAGCATCCAATGATGAATCAATACAGATGCAGTCTAAAGACCACTTCATTTTTGCTTTGAGCACATCATCGACTAGATGTTTACAGCATGCTTCTGGATTTTTCTTGCCTGTTTGTAAAACAAATAACACATTTATTGTTTTGTTCAGACAAAATGCTTTTGATCTTTTGGTAGTACTAGGAAGAGTGTTGGCTGGAGGCCTTAACCTGCTGTCTTCCCATGGGAGTGGCAACTCCCAGGTCAGACCAGACATCAGCCATAGCTTTGCCAGTGGTGCAGCAGGTGTAACTGGGTTTCAGGGAGATTTTGCTTAGGCGTTGTTGGAACCTTCTGAAAAAGGTTTTCTCATCTGAAGACAACAGATGTTAAAGGTTAAAAAAAAAAAAAAGTAAAATTTGTTTTCTCAGGTGCAGTAGCAAAGAAAAACAGTTTTGAGATATTTTTGTCATAACTTGAGAGGAAAAGAGAGAAAATCCAACAGGCAACAACGTTCAGGAGAATTATATGGAAAGTTTTTGTTCTACTTAACTCCTCATGCATGATATAACGCATGCTCTAGTTCACTTAGAGCTAAATCCTTCCCTAGGCGTCTTGGTGGGCACAGGATGGACATGCTCCTTTCCACTCAAGACTCTGGTCAAGAATTGAACCTGTCTAATTGTTTGCTATTAAAATAATGGTAGCGTCTGGCCTTGAAGCCTTTTGGACTTCAGTCCATTTTCTGTTGGAAATCATTACTGTGCTTTACTCTTCCAGTCTCTGAGATGAAGGAACATTAATTTGGCTTACTGTAAAATTGGTTATTTTGGAAGTCTCTTCTGTCTATGCTCTCCGTTCTGAACATGAATGTATGCTATGCTATTGTTACTATTTTTTTAATCTGTACCAACAGTGAAGCATACTCAAGCAGTTTAGATGGAACAGTGATTGCTTGGAATATCAGCACTCTGAAAGTTAACCGTGTCTTTCAGCTGCCCTGCCAAAATCTCACTTCTATCAAGCTTCATAATGACCAACTGTGGTGCTGTAAGTTCATTCTTCAAATAATTTAAAAAAAAAAAAAAAAAATCTTCACATAATACGCTGTTTTATTAGAAGAAACAATACATTGATCTCAAACTCACGCTTATGTGTACATGATGTTCTTCCCCCATTCTCAACTTGGTCTGTTTAAGCAGCCTTCTGTAGGTGAGGCCTCTAAAACATTTATATAGATGGCTAGCTTGGATCACTCCTGGAGGTATTGCCTCTGCTGCAGGATGTGACTTCTGGCCATGCTGTATTTGTCTGACCTCCCCTGGCAATGCCTGTAAATTGGAATGGAAAACTTTGAGAAAGTCCTTTTTAAAGTCTAGAGGGGCAATATTGGCTGCAAATTCTATTTGGTATTTCAGCTAGACTTTACAGTATTGGTCTGACCTGGTAATCCCCAGGCCTGCATTTTGGCCACTTCTAGAAATTTGTTGTCCCCTCTGTAGGAGTTTAGATGAATAACGTAAAGCTTTGTGTTAGGGTAAAGGGTCATCTTGAAGTTGTTCCATGAATGGTGACCGATTCAAGAATTTTGTATTGATTCTCAGTATTGCCATACGTAAGAGCCTGGATCCAAACATATTTTAACAGAACAGCAGCTAAAGCCTTGGGAAATTCCTGGTCCTGCTGTGGGCAGTAGCGATGCTGCCATTGCTGTGGTGGGGTAAGGATTCAGCCCTGTTAACTTTATAGCACAGACACTTGGTCTCAGTTCTGTAAATTAAAGTAATTGTGTACTTGAGAACCTAAGTATGAGATGTCCTATTTTTAAGGAGTTCAGTTTTTCTCCTCTCATGATTTTTGGACTCTAAACTAACAGGTGTATGCACTGCAGAATAGCAACTAGCATCTGGAGAAAGAACAGATCTAAAAACTAGATACTGTGGGAAAACAGGAAGAAGTACCTCAAAGATTTCACTGTTGGTTGAGAAACAAGACAGTTGTTAGATGCATCCATTTATTTTGTCTCTTTTCTCCATGATTTATAGAGATGGAGGAAGTAGTAGGCACTTCTGTTACTAACCCTTTATCTTTAATATTGAAGGTACTGGAAGTTGCATACTTGTAGCGTCAACTCATGAATTTCAACTACAGATGAAAATTGAGCATCACCTGAAGGATGTGTGTTCCTATTTTCTCTGCTTCCAGCTCTTTCCTGAGGTATTACATTTAAATTGTTAATAGAGTTTAAAGGAAGCATGACTATGTGGCATTACAAGCCATAGTTACTTAATGCAATATACTTCCTGTCATCAGTGCTCATGTTAAACATATCTTTCTGTGCTTCAGAGAGATGAAGTGTGGGCATCTTATTCGGGGAGTAGTGACCTGTATATTTGGAACACCAAAGACTTTTCAAGTACACCTCAAAAGATTCATCTTCAAGATTGCTCCGAGATTACTTGTATGATAAGAGTTAAAAATCAGGTGAGACACATCTGGACTGTTTTTACCTGTTGTGGAATTCTTTACTAAAGTTTTGTTTGTTTGCAGCTTTCATGGGCTGTCATTGGTTAGCTTCCTTACTGGGTGTTTGCATAGGTACTGGTTTGAAACATTGATTCTTCTTTGAAATCAGCGAAGCTAATGACTGCCCAGCACAACTCACCCTTCCAGGTATACCCCAAAATGCATGTTAAGGCAGAAGCCTCATCAGTAATTAAATGCGTGGTGACTTTTATTAGCCATTGACATTTTCAGGAAACTGTAGAAACTGAAAGTTTAGGTCCCTTGATATTTAGTCTCAGGGCTCCTTAGACTAAGCCTTGGAAAAGGTTAATAGACAAACAATAAATGCCAATTAGCTGGCCTATTTTTGTAGATGACCTTTTTATTGTTTAGTTACCACGTTCCTAACTCAACAGAGACCAAAGGAGCCAATGGCTTCTTACCTTAGCATCTTGTGTCCCTGTCTTTATTGGCCTCAAGCTGTGTACCTGCTTTTTCTGCATGGTGTCGGTAGCTGTGGAAATGATTGTAGTTGTGATACCACATGGACGGGTTTAGGGTTAATTTGCAAGTAAATAGCTAATATATACCTATTGGGAAAGCAACTTTCTGAATCTTTTTCTCAGGTTTCCCCTCCTCCTTTCCTTCCTCAAAAAATTTTTTTTTTTTTTTTTTTTTTTTTTTTTTTTTTCACAAAGTGCCTCATGAAATAGGGAAGCTTTCTGTGTATTCAGCTCTTGGTTAGATCTGTGAACTAAAATGGAAAAACTTTTTGAGATATCCTTCCCCAGAATAGAGATGGATGTATTTAACCCCTGTTTTAAGGGAATTAAAGGATTGTTTGGAAGCACCAAGGCATTAAGCTCTCTTTTGTTCTACTTAAGAACTTTGTTCCTTTTCTTTTCCACTTATTCCTTGCTCAGCTCCACCTCAACTAACGTCATAGTTCAACTCATTGATACAAAAGGAACAATTGGAAAATATTCCTGTGTGATCCATCTCCTGAACCTGAGTGTTCAATGCACAATCTTTCAGCCTGCCAACAGCTCAGCAGCCTTGGTTGTCCAAGGGGACTGTGGAGCCTATTGTAGTAGCTGGAGCACCCATACTCCTCTTCCATACAGCATTACAGTTACTGAGAATGAACCTGCAGCCTGGTAAAGGCTACCAACAACACTGGTAGAGTTGTCTGCCACAGGCTTGCTTTTAAGTGCTTTAATTAAAAACAAGCCATTGTTTGTCTTTAGGAAACCTGAGACAAAACCAATTGCATGTGTCTGTCTGAAATAGGATGCTTTCTGGCTGGTTAAGCGTTACTGATACACAACAGTGAGTGCTTACCCAGTACAAAACTATGCACCAGAAGACCACAGCTGTTTTCTGCTGCGTTGGACCAGGTGCATCTAACCCCATATTCTGACTCTTAACGGTGGCAATAGCAGTGCTATATAGGGAGAGCGTGTGAACCTGGCCTGTATCTGCAGTCCATTCCCCTTAAGCTCCCTCACTGTCTATGGTTCTTGTTTAGGGGAACTAAAGTGTGCACCTCTGCCTCAGTCTTTTATTATCTATTTTTTGACCCAGTCTCTGTGGATCGCATCTCATTTAGAACTTGCTGGTGCCACAGTTTCCTGTAGCAGCAGTTTCCAGAAGTTCACTGCCAGCCATGTACAGGGAAGTACTTTCTTCTAAGTGAAACTGAACTCTTACTGGTTTCCACATGTGTCCCTTACTTCTCTAAATGCAGGATGTGTTGAACAGTGGTTCTACATTCTGCTTATCTGACCTTTGTGATTTTGTAAACCTTAATGTGATCCCTCCTTAGCTGTCTTCTCTCCAGCCTAAGGAGTCCTGGCTTTTTTCATCTTTGCTCATATGACAGCTGTTCCTTTCTCTTGATAGTTTTAGTTACTCTTCCCTGGATTTTCTCTACTCTTGCAGTGCAGAGAGCAGAATTGCACACAGCACTTGATAGGGGCATGCTGTGGTTTATACAGTGGTAAAGTGACACCTTCTGTCTTATTCTCTTCATTGGGTCTGTGGAACCAAAGGCAAGTTGAGTTGCTGAGGCAAACAGTTCTGGTTCTGGCATGGTCATAGAATCATTTAGGTTGGAAAAGACCTTTAAGATCGAGTCCAACCGTCAACTCAACACCACCATGCCCACTAAACCATGTCCTGAATTGCCACATCTATGTGGTTTTTGAACACTTTCAGGGATGGTGACTCCACCACTTCCCTGGGCAGCCTGTTCCAATGCCTGACAACCCTTTTGGTAAAGAAATTTTTTCCAATATCCAATCTAAACCTCCCTTGGTGCAACTTGAGGCCATTTTCTCTTGTCCTATCACTAGTTACTTGACAGAAGAGACCAGCACCCATCTCACTACAACCTCCTTTCAGGTAGTTGTAGAGAGCAATAACGTCTCCACTCAGCCTCCTTTTCTCCAGGCTAAACAACCCCAGTTCCCTCAGCTGCTACTCATAAGACTCATGCTCCAGACCCTTCACCAGCTTCGTTGCCCTTCTCTGGACATGTTCCAGCACCTCAATGTCTTTCCTGTAGTGAGGGGCCCAATACTGAACACAGTATTCAAGGTGCGGCCTCACCAGTGCCGAGTACAGGGGAACAATCACCTCCCTGCTCCTGCTGGCCACATTATTTCTGATACAGGCCAGGATGCCGTTGGCCTTCTTGGCCACCTGGGCACACTGCTGGCTCATATTCAGCTGGCTGTCAACCAGCACCCCCAGGTCCTTTTTTCCACCGGACAGCTTTCCAGCCACTCTTCCCCAAGCCTGTAGCGCTGCATGGGGTGGTTGTGACCGAATTGCAGGACCCGGCACTTGGCCTTGTGGATCGGCAGCGGAGCGCAGGGTTTCCTCAAGTGGGGAAAACTGAGGGGAGCGGAGAGACCCGCCAGGAGCCAGCAGCTCCTGCCACAGCAGCTGAGGAGAGCAGCATGAGGCCAGGAGCAACGGCGGCCAAGCCCCCCACACCTATAAAAGAAGCCCCTGGGGAGTGCTAGCAGCCAGAGCGGGCAAACGGGTCTCGGTGTGGCAGTTGGTGCGCAGGGAGGTTGCTCTAACTCTGCTGGTTTGACCACAGAGCAATGGTATCCACCCAGCAGAAGGCCACGGCCTCCCTAAACTCTGCACCCACCGCGACTGACGCAGCTTCCCAGGCAGAGCTCTGGTGGAAGACGCTGCCATCCGGGTGTCCATCTGCAGGCCGTGCCCTGCTCTTACACCAGTACAGGACGGCAGCAGTGAGCACACCTGCGGGAGGTGTGCCCGGGGAGAGGAACTCCTCCGCTGAGTGACAGAGCTCGGGGAGGGGGGGAGTAGGTTGAGGAGTATCAGGCAGTCGGAGAGGGAGGTAGATGTGAACTCCAACAGATACATATGTATAGGAAATTTTCAGTGTTCCACTTTTCCAGCTTAGCAAGAGAGAACCCTCAGTGTATCAATGTGGCACACAAAACTTCTCGACTGTGTCCTTAGACTGAAATGTAAAGTAGTGAAAATGATTGTGGTTTTGTCTTGGTTTGTTTGTATTCCAGATGTGGGTTGGCAGCAGTGGAAGATCGCAAGGCAAAAGCAAAGGGAAGATCTATGTGATCAGTACTGAGAAGAAGACTGTGGAGAAAGAGTTGGTTGGTCATGCCGATACAGTAAAGGCACTGTGCTCAGCAGAGGACAGGTATGTCCTTAGCGGCTCTGGAAAGGAAGAAGGAAAGATTGCCATTTGGAAAGCTGAATAGTTAAGCTATTCAACACATGTCTGCCTGTGCCAGAAAAAAGTGAAGACCTCAGGCTGTGTTTATTTCAGCATTTTGCATATATTTCAACCACCTGTCAGTGTTACTGTTTTGTATTTATTGAGTTATTTTAGTCCCTACGTTGTTGTAGAAATCCAAAATAGAAGTGAATCTCTCCTTGTACCTTGTGCTGCTCCTGCACTTTTGATAAAGAAGCAGAAATGTGAATAGAGGGGTCACTGACTGTAAACCTGATGTGTGTTGTTGTGAAGGGTCAGGGTTATAGGCCGGACTGTGTGGTGCAGATTGCATTGAGAGAACTGAAGTCAGCTTAGTAATTCCACTGGAGCGCTTTTTGGGCAGTGCATGGAATTGCCTGAAAAGCAGGATTCGATACTGTCTTTACAGCCTATAACAGCTGGAAATGGTCACTGAAAAGAAAAACCTAGGTGCATTTGTTGGATTTATGGAGTTACTGTAAATGCTGAGAATCTTTCTGAACTAGCAGCTAGATTTAGCTGGGAAGACTGTCCATTACCCCTGTATGTATATCTATGGTGCTGTATTATTTAAAATGTAGACACAAACAGGCTCTCCCTGATAGCACTGAAAACTCCCTGCTGGTGAAACAAGATACTTGGATATTCTTGATGACTGTTTTACTTTTTAAACTTGTCTTTTCCTTTAAAAACAATGCACAGCACTTGACATCTGTAACAGTTTGTGAAACTGATTTTTTTTATTTCCATCTAAAGTACTTAATTTATTTAATTTCCGTATATATTATACTTGCTTTTGGAAGCAACCTTTCAGTTACTGTACAAGCAAACCTCTGCCACTCTTCCCTTCCGTCGCAGTTTCTGTAATCAGAGGAACTGCTGTTATTTTGTGTAGAACCTACTTTATTTTTAAATACTGCAGAGTCATCAAACTACTCCATAATTACTGAAGTGAGCATCATCAGATTGCGGTCTAGAGGATTGTCTTGAGCAGCATTTCCTAATCATTTCCTCATGTACGTTGTTTTTTCCATTGATGACAATTATCTACAACTAAAACAATAAATCTATGCAGAGTAGTTGTTTTATCTGTATCAGTGCTGAGTACAGTGGAATACCATATTTAAAATATTGTAAATAGAAAGAAAAAATGGGCTGCTGCTTTTGTTAATAAATATAAAACAGTGTAGGCCTAACAGAAGTGTAAATTACTGGAAATATACTCCATGTAATATTTCTAACTCTTTCAATGTGCTGATGAAAGGTTTTATCATATGATAGTAACAGAAATTTTAACTTAGTTTGGTTTTTTTTTCTTCTTCAATTTAAAATATTAAACACTATATTGATACTCTGGCCTCTTTGTACTTTGTTCTTTTTCCTGTGTAACTCAATACACAATACAAGAATGATGATTTTTAGCATTGACTTGCATCCTGTCTGTGTACTATGCAGAATAATTGCCTGGGATTTTCTCTTTACACATTCGTTATAAAACCAGCTTCTGTGGATAATGTGTCCTCTTTTGAGCCCCTCATCTGTAACTTTCAGGTTCCTTATTTCCTCCCCTGACAGCTGTCTGGCTGGTGATGGTAAGTGAAATGAATCATTTACTGAATTAAAGGATTTCTCTGTACAGAGACACACAAGTGCTGCTAATGAAATTTCACTTGCTGCAGAGATGAACCCAGCTATACCATCCTGCCACCTGCCTGTTGTTGCCTTCATTGATTTTTCATTCCTGCCAGACTTTTTAAACCTGTTTTTGTCTTCTCAACTGCTTTGTACCCAGCTTGTGAAAATGTCAGATGACAAAACTAGCAAATGTCTATTTTTATGCTTGTAAATTCTTTTATTGATAAGACTCCAAAGTAATTTATTGAATAGGAACATAACGTATTGAGTAGATGCCTCCTTTTTAAGAACACTGCTTTAATACCAGCTGTTGAACACCAGTATATAGGAGAAGAGTTTAACCACATCAGAACAAACCGTGAGATACAAAGATCCTTCAAGAAAACTAACCCATCCTCAAGAGCAGGAGGACCAGCAATACCAATTCAGCTGACTTGAGGAGCACAATGGCATGCTGGTTTGTCTCTCCTGGTGTGACGAGAAAGCTCAGGTATGCGTTCACTTACCATTTCAGCTTTGCTCCAGCATTACAGCTGTGGAAATGAGCCTGCAGGAACAGCGCTGCGGGATTTTGTTCAGTTTTCAGTGGATTTTCAGTTACTTCTCGTGGGCCCCCTTGGTGGTGGGAAGGCACAGGGGGAGAGATCCTCAGATCCCTAGTGGTCCTCAAAGTTCCTCTTTGCCACGATGCCTACTAACAGCTTGCCAGGTCTACTTGCCAGTGTGCAGCCCGCACTGATCCTGCTGACTGATGCTGGCTCGTGACATCTGTGTACTTGTCTCTCTGTCCGGCTGCTGTTTCATGCTGGTGTAAGCTGTTTGAGGCCGAGACCATGCTTCTGGCTGTGCTCATGTAATGCTTGGCATGACGCTGTGTTGGCCCATAGCAAGGACTACTGCAGATTGCAACACTATAAATACTAGTGCTTGATGGCTTGGATTTTGTAAACCTTTTGTTGAGCCTTTCAGTTAAAAAGCAGATTGTCAGTGCTCAAAACAGGCTGCCAAACAGTGGGAATGTTTTATGCCCTACCTACCTGAAATGGTCTCACTCTCAAAACAGTGTTTAGAGGTTGTTACCTGAATAGAAAACAGAAGTTTTATACATATTTATAAATTTATTCATCAACCAGACAGAGCTCCTGCATCCTGCCAGCTTGTTCTCTTTTTGTCTTGCTCAGAGATTTTGGTTCCTCTCTGCCTGTCTCCAAGTAATTGCTTCCCAGAGAAGGGATAAAGTCCTTCCAAGCAGTAGGATGCCCCTTGCAGAGAAGAGAGACAGTATAAGTGAGCGATGGGTCTGAGCACGCTCCATCCCTCTCTTGTCCTAACACTGAGCTGCTGTTGGGGTTAGTCAGCCTCCACGTGAGCCTCCGGCCAGATCCTCCCCAAGTCCAGCTTGGGCCATCGTCCCCATCTCCTCTACCTCTGTGAAGTGTTGCCCATTTCTTGGAAGCCAGCTGAGGTTCAAGGCTAATGTTTGTTCAACTCCTTTTTGCTGTTGATTTTTCCCCCGTCTCCTCAAGCCGGTACACCTGAGGGGGAGCGGAGAGACCTGCCAGGAGCCGGCAGCTCACACCACAGCAGCTGAGGAGACTGGGGTGTGGGGCCAGGAGCAACAGCAGCCAAGCCCCCTCACCTGTAAAAGAAGTCCCTGGGGAGCGCTAGCAGCCAGAGCGGGCAAACAGGGCTCGGCGCGGCAGTTGGCGTGTGGGGAGGATGCTCTGACTCTGGTTTGACCAGGGAGCAACAGTATCCACCCGGCAGAAGGCCATGTCCTCTCTAAACTCTGCACCCGCCTTGACTGATGCAGCTTCCCAGGCAGAGCTCCGGTGGAAGACGCCGCCATCCGGGTGTCCGTCTGCAGGCCGTGCCCTGCTCTTACACCAGTACAGGACGGCAGCAGTGAGCACACCTGCGGGAGGTGTGCCCGGGGAGAGGAACTCCTCCGCTGAGTGACAGAGCTCGGGGAGGGGGGCAGTAGGGTGAGGAGTGTCAGGGAGTCTGGGAGGGAGACAGACTACGGGAACTGCACCCTGCCTGCCCTGGGACAGACCTGTCGGGCGGACAGGACACAAGGTGTGGAGGACTCCCTGTCCTCTCCCCACCCGGCAGAAGGCGGTGACTGAAGGGATAAGGGGCAGTGGCGACAAGCTCCTGCCTGGTGCAGCAGGTGCGTCTCCTCCATGACTCCCCCACCTTCCCAGGTGCCCTTGCATAATAAGTACGAGGCTCTGCAAGTGGAACCAAACACTAATGAGGACGATGGTTCATCTAGGTTGGAGGTGTCACCAAGGTTAAGTTGGCCTACGCCCTGTGTCAAAAGTGCTTCCATAAAGAAAAAAAGGGCAGGTCTTTGGGAATCTGCTTTTGAATGGGGATCCATGAATGTTGGTCACTTTTTAAGAGCCCTGCCTTAAGAGCCAGGAGCAGACAATTCCAAAGTGTTGGAAGCCAAGCAAGTGGGGCAGAAGGCTGGCTTAGCTGAGCAGGGATCTTCTTCTAGAACTTAGGTGGAAAAGGAAAGTGTACGGACATTGGAAGCAAGGACGGGCAATATGGGAGAACTCCAGAGAGCAGCCTCAACAGGAAGAAATCTGGGGGTTTGGGTTGATGGCAAGTTGAATCTGAGTCAACAGTGTGCCCTGGCAGCCAGAAGGGCCAACCGTGCCCTGGGGTGCATCAAGCCCAGCATAGCCTGCCAGTCCAGGGAGGTGACTGTCCCACTCTACACGGCACTGGTGTGGCCCCACCTCCAGTACTGTGCGCAGTTCTGGGCGCCTCAATGTAAGAAGGACATCAGACAATTAGAGTGTGTCCAGAGGAGGGTGACCAAGATGGTGAAAGGCCTCGAGGGCAAGACTTAGGAGGAGTGGCTGAGGTCACTGGGTTTGTTCAGCTTGGAGAAGAGAAGGCTGAGGGGTGACCTCATCACAGTCTACAACTTCAAGGGGAGCAGCAGAGGGGTGGGTGCTGATGTCTCTCTGGTGACCAGTGACAGGACATGAGGAAATGGAAGAAAGTGGCATCAGGGAAAGTTCAGACTGGACATTAGGAAAAGATTCTTCACTGGGAGGGTGCTCAGTCACTGGAACAGGCTCCCCAGGGAAGTGGTCACAGCACCGAGCCTGTCAGAGTTCAAGGAGCATTTGGATGACGCTTTTAGTCATGTGGTTTAGTCTTAGGTAGCCCTGTGAGGAGCAGGGAGTTGGACCCGGTGATCCTTATGTGTCCCTTCTAACTTGAGATGTTCTGTTGATTCTATGATTCAAACCAAGGGATGGCAGTGTTTACTTCCAGAAATAACCCAGCTGTGGAAATGGAAGCTGCTTGGAAATTCAGGCTGTCTTGTGCTGGCTGTGATCTCCCTGATGGGCTCCTGCGGTGAGGTAGGAAACAACCCTTCCTCTGCCTTCCAGCCTCTGTTCATGAGTTACTTTGGGTCTATTTGTAAGACTAGGCCCCTTTTTCCACCAGTACCGATTGAATCCTGCCTTTTGCTGTCAGCCTTTTAGAGTGAATGAAGCAAAAAGCCAGCGTCACCCCCTCTGCCATCAATGACTTCTTTCTGTTGCTCTTTCTGCATCCATTTCAGCTGCTGCCGTTCCCAGCCCTCTCTCCACGACTGCCCGGGGTGCATCACACCCCACGGCGGGGGCTGCTGTTTGCCGTGTGACATGGACGTGGGTCGTAGCTGCTGGTTGGGGGCTGAGGATGAGGTAGGACGTAACCTGCAGGATTCCCCCTGGTGTCTGGCTTTCCCCTCCACGGTGCTTTACCCCAGTGCCTCGGTACAGGTCCCCCTGCTCTTGGCAGCGGGTGGGTGGCCTCGGTGCCACCCCTGGTGCCAGGACGGGGAGAATGCTGCTCAAATGCCACTTGGTACCAAGTACAGCCTCCCAGGCCCAGAAACAGAGGCAAATGCTGCCTGCTCAGGGCTAGGAGCTGGATTGGCAGCTGCCCGCCACCCTCGACCCCAGGATTTGGGCTGCTGTTCTGCCGCAACGCCCCTTTCATCACTGTGGACCCCAACTTGAGGGTGTGTGCCCTGTATCACCACCTAGAAGATGGTGACACCCTACAGGCACATCCCCTACAGGCTGGAGCTGCTGGGGAGTGGGCAGCAGTGGGTCTGGGAGCGCACGAAATCTCAGCTCTGCCTGATGCCTGCGTGGGGGCAACCTCCCCTTCCAGCACTGAGGGCTGGCGATGGACATGGGGACCATCTGCAACCCACCCCCCCCAGTATGGGAGAGATGATACCCTGGCTGCTGCAAAGCCTGAGGGATGCAGGGACTGACCCCACTGGGGCAAGGGGGGGAGATACTGGTTTGCTGGTTGTTCCATCCTCTGTCCAGACTGGAAAGCAGGGGCAGTGCTGGGGCAGGCTCCTCTCCGAGCTATTTCCAGCTGCTCCAAGGCCACTGCGAGCTATTTTTTAAGTGACGCAGCTCCTCTGTCCTCACCCCTTCCACACAATGCTCCAGCCAGCCCAGACCTGGCACCCTGCTCCCAACCCCGAGGAGGGACCCGGTGCCTCTGGCCAGGGATCACAGCGTCCGGGGGATGAGTCACATCTCCTGAGCCGGGCAATGTGTTTTCTCACCTCTCCTCCTCGCTGGGGATCACCCCGCAGGAACAACAGCACCAGGGAGGTTTCTGTTTCCCGCTGCTCAACCCTGGCCGCATCCTGCCACATCACTGGAAAGGATGAAGAGGGCTGCCCCGTCCTCCCCCTCTCTTGGCACAGGGGATAGGGCTGCTACGCAGATACTCGGGAGGAGATGCGTGGGCAGAGCGGGGCTCAGCGTCATGCCTTGCAAGACCCAGCCCCAGGGAGGTTCAGGTTTATTTCTTTGCTGCTTTCACAGCCCTTTGGCCTCTTCGCTTTTAATTGTGCCAGGAGAGGACAGGGATGTAGGACAGTCCCTGCCACTTAATCCCCACTTCATTTTGGGCTCTGCCAGGTGGTTGGAGTCTCCCAGGGTGAGGACAAGCAGCCAGGGTTCTGCTGAGTGAAGTGGGGTAACAGGAGGCTTTTGCCCTTTTCCTGGTTTAACCCCAGCACCACACAGCCACTTGCTCACTCCCTCAGACTTCACAGTAGCCCTCTACTAGCTACCATGAAGAAAATTAACTCTATCCCAGCCAAAACCAGCACAACCCTTTTCTGGGTTGTCTGTAGGTATTTGGAGTGGCTCCTCCCCTGGTGAGGCAGGGTCCACACTCTCCCCTTGGTGCTGGTGAAGAAAGCAAGTTCATAGCCCAGGCCAAAAGTCACATTTATTGCATTTTATGTTTTCACTTCTTCCTTAACCTCCAATCCAGTGAGAAAAGAGCACAGCTGAGCTGTGTTTAGTCAAAAACAACTTCTCTGAGCTGCTGCTACCGATTCTGAAATGCCTTCAGAAGTCACAGACCAAATCCATCAAGTAAACTGCTAGAAATCAAAGCAGGACAACCAAGTTCTTCACACTGCAAGTTTAACCCTGTCAGCTGGCCTTTGTAATCTGATAGAGGTCCCTCCAGCTTTCCCCTCTCTTTGTCACTCACAACAGCCCAAGCAGTTAATTGGTTTGGATGTGAACTGCTTTCTTCGAAAGCTGCTTATGGTTATGCTTATTGGGTAGCACTCTCGTTCATGGCATGAGAGATGATGGATTTTGGCAGCCACCACCCCTTGTGTCCTCCTGGGAATGGGTCAGAGCAACCAGGGCAAGAGCAGAGTCTGCGGTCAGGGACATACACCTCTCCCAGACATCACCAGTTTGCGCTTCCATCTGCGCTCCCTCCTTTGTTACACCTCAACCCTGCGAGTGTCAGGTGAGTTGATCAAGCGTTTGCAAACTCTAACACTTGGGGTTTTTTTCCTCAGCTAACCTTTGGTAGTAGCATTTTAAGAAATATTAATTAAGCTTTGGGAAGCGGGTGAATATTATTTGTCTTAGGGACAAGGAGAAGCAGCAGCAGCGTTCAGCCTGTAGCAGGGAGCCTGCATCGCTGCCAGCCCCGCAGGTGCATCGCAGAAAGGACGCGTGCCTCTGCTCACGTTCCCTACAAACAACACAGGAACGCGAGCCACCAACTCTTACTGAAATGTTTATTAAGATCGAACTTCAGAACAACGGATCGGAACACAATGTTTTATGGAGTAGAATATTTCTAAATTGATTTTTCTTTTCTATGCATAAATGAAAAAAAATCAAGATTATACAAAAAGAACAGAAAGTGCAGAACACAATAAAACAGTTCTCATGCAACAAATCTTTTTTTTAACCTTAAAACAGAAAATAAGCTCAACAGTGTAGAAATAAAAATCATACATACATTATGCCATCTACACACTCAAACATTCATCTGTGACATTACTTTTCTTTATCCCTTTTTCCTCAAAAAACAACATTATGTGTTTAACACATGCTTATAAACATTGCTAAACTCAGCAAGAGCTATTATAGTGCCCCAACTTAATAAGTTGATAAAAAAGTAGTTGTCATATGGCCAGTTCACAAAGGAACTAAATATTCTCTCTTTTTTTTTCCGCTATGAGATGCCTATATGCAGCTTTCTATTAATATGAGGCATTTAAAATAAGCTGGTCATTTAGCTACCGAAAGGGCTTAGTGTTCATGTTACATCAGAAAGAAAAATTAACATTGGGAACCGCCAATTTGTTGAGAGGAAAGTCTTTCTGGTTTTGGGGGTTATTTACTACAATTTGGCTATCACTAAGGATTGAATAGGTGCAGGCTAAATAAGGTGATGCCTAGTTTGGCTAAACGCTGCTAGAGCTTCACCTGCAACTTCAAAATTTAAGAAAAAATGTGCCAGAGCATGTCAAATTGAACCACGTCCTGAGTTTTTACTAAAGTTTTAGCAGGTCACAAGGGCATCAAAAGCCTTTTAATGTTAGCAGATGCTCTCTTCTGGGGGTGGAAGGTATTCGTCCCTCCTGGGCACCCTTTGCTGTCCCCTGTGCTCCCTGGGGAGAGGGAAGGTGAGGTTGAAAGACAGGTGAGCCGCAGGGCTGCTTGGGTTGAGGAACCAAACAAAAATCAGTTTTCCAGGAGGTGATCTTAATTTAAATTACAGGAAAAACTGGAACATCTTAATGAGCTGATGAATGAGCTTGGCAGATGTCAGCGCCACATTATGAAAAGACAATTAAGCCTTTTTGTTATTACCTAACATAATTTCCTAGCTGTCCGGGCTGCTGAGCCTTGAAATCAAAACGCCAGTTGATATTTGAGCTTCTGCAGCTTGCCACTGCCAATGGCTTGTTCTGGATGCAACATGAGAAACATAAAACTTTGGGTAGCTCCACTTTTTAAAAATGACCATTTTCGATGCACTTTACAAACGTTCAGCTTTGTCGTTTAAGGAAGAATAACAGCTAGAGGACTCTCTGTAACCATAAAGTTTCTGCAAAGAAAAATAAAATTTGGTATTTCTTCTACACAGTCATTAATAACATTTCTGTGCAACATTTGGTGTTCGTTACATTTATTTGGCCTATTAAAAGGAAACAAGGACAAAACAGCTGCAAATAAAACTAACTTCTCTTTCACAATAGATACTTCAGATGCCGAAGCTGCTACATGTGCTTGGAATATCATGCAGGAGTTTACTTATTCATTTAAATAGGATACATATTTATAGCTGAGCTCGTCTCACATCGGACTAAGATGAGGGAAACCTGGAAGAACTCAGTTGAAAACATTGTTGAGTACAGTGACGACGAGCACACAACCACCAAAGATATTTTGGCCCGGGCAGTGTGTATATAAATGTACATACACACAGACACATATACACACACATACGCACACACTTAAAAAACCCCAACTCTCAAGTGACTGAACCACAGTTCGCCGCAGGGACCGAACAACAGAGTGTTGCACAACCTGGCTACGTGTCTGGGCAAAATTGCTGAAAACGTGAGCAACCACCAAAACCAAACGCTGACCCCTGCGACATGCCTCTGGGAAGGAAGCCCCCCTGAACTCTCCTCCTGCCCGGATGCGGAAGAAGCTCTCCCAGGAACAAACTGTGACTTTTTCCACCTTTTTTTGTAAATGCGACCTCAACCCACACGGCTGCAAGACCGCGCTGGCAGCTATGAAAATCCTGCCGTTAATAGTGGACGTCAGAGGAAGGCCAAGCTCACCACAAACCAAGGGTGGGCAGATGCGTTTCTAACGATGAAACTGGGGTTTTAATGAGGTACCTGGCAATAATCACTGCTGTTGTCACTGTCATTCCAAGCGTGGGGGGATTCTGATCAGACGGGAGAGGAATGAGAAAGGCTCAGCCCTCACTTCCATGCCTCCGTGGAAAACCTCACGCAAGCCTGTTTCTTCACAGGGTCAGCATGCCAGCACCAGCACTGGCAAGAAAACCAGGAGGCTAAATTTGCAGCTGCCTCCTTTTCAGCCCGCTGTGCTGGGAATATTTCAGAGTCTAGAAAAAGGCTCCAAGTGAAAGGGGAAAAGGACATTGCGTGTTTCAAGGAGCACTAACCTCCATTGGATTTACTGGCTTCCTCCCTCCTGATGATGAACAACCCACATCTTTTCCATAACTGCTTACTGCCAGCGCTAGCAAACGACCAGATTCATGTTATTAAAAGGCTATTTAGGTAATAAATCTCTATGAAAGTCATCTAACCAGCAGGAAGAGAAACATTCCTAAGAAATTATTGCTTCTGGAGTCTCAAATTGCCATCCATGAACAGCACAGATCCGACTGGACTCTTGCAATAACCCAACGGTGCCAAATCCATGCTATGCTTTTCCGAGCGGTTAAAGTTTGAGCTTCTCTGCTCTCATGTAAAATATTACTAGATGTGCAGCTTACTGACTACACCACTCGAGAATCTGAGCACTAATGGTGTCTCATGTCTGAGGTGTTACACGTCACCAGGACGACTGCAGCAGAGTATGTTAAAATTGTTTACAGTATAGAGCAACACAGAATGAGACCACTAAACCTTCAGCCTACTGCAGTAAAGGTCCAAAGAGATGAAGCACGCAGGATGATTTTGACCATACAGTAATATCAACAAACAAAGTATTATGCTTATTGTCACCAGGAATAAAGCCCCTTCAACTCTCTCTTGCCACAACTTCTGCAATAAACACATAAAATCTTACTACTTTACCTTTTAGTCATGACAAAAAAAAAATTTCTATATCAAAAGATAAGGTAAGGGACACAAAGCAATAAATCAGTGCCCACTCTACCCTGAGAAGTGCCAGGGCTAGAAAGAAAACTCCCTCAAATTCAAGAAGAAGCATTACTATGAAAGATCTCGTGAGCCCTCACTGGCAAGCACTGGAAGCCAGCACAGTGGTTTTACAGGCTGGCCAAGGTACAGAGGAGATACTTTGGCTGGGGCTCCCCCAAGTTAATTCTTCTGGCAATACTACAAATACTTCAGTGCATTTACAATGGATAATTATTTCCTTCAGCTTTACAGGGGAGTGAAATAGAGCTTCCTGCTACAAGGCAGCGTGCATATTCATGCATTACAAATGGTAATTAAACAGCCCTATAAACAATTCCAAATACAGATTTTAACATCCAGTTCTTAGAAATGAGGCTACGCCAAATGCTGGCTGGGACAAAATGGGACCTGCCCCGCCTTCGATTGAAACCCTCTGGGTTCAAAACGTCCTTCCCCCTCCTCACCGTCCCCCTGACTGAGAAAGCTAAATAAGTGTTTGAGCTCATCCCCCAAAACCGTTTCAGATTCCCTCTGCTGGGCGTGAAGCGAGAAGGAACTTCAACTTCTCCCTCTTTGCAGCTAGACTTTGGTCAGCTTGATGGTGCTCTGAAAGAAATCTTGGCTTACAAAGAAGGTGCTGTGTGGAATAATGGTGATTTGAAACCACACTGATCCATAAAATTCATGGGGAAATGGGTAATTATGGCTGGCACCAGCCAGAGATGCAGATTTTTAAACCATAGAAGAACCTTTCCAGAAATAGAGATTAAAATAAGGAGTACTTGACAGCATTTGTTTAACCAAAAGCAGAATCTTCAAGGAGCTTTAAAGATAAAATATTAAAGCCACTTTAAAATGTCTAATTCAGTGTGTATTTTACATGAATGCCAGTTATAGGGTGAAATACAACTCATCTCTGTTATATATGAACATCACCAGAATATATTAAATATAATTGAGATGATAAAATTCATGGCAGAAGTTCAGTTAAAGTATTTCTCCCAACTGATTTCTTCAATAAGGTCTCATATTCTTCAGTAGTATTATTCCCCCGTCTGAACACAGTTCACAGTATGTGTTCTAAATAAAAAAAAATATTCACCTTAAAGGAAAAAAAAAAAAAAGAAAAGACTTTCTCAAGACACTTAAAAAAAAAAGAAACCAAAACGAAACCCTAAATCCTGTGTGATTACATGTACTTTAGTGCTTGGTGATTTCACCAGCCTAAAAACATTGTCACCCTTGATAGCATAGGACATCAGCACCGACTGAAAGCCTTCAGCTAAGAAACCCACATATGCCACCAGGAATTCGTCAATGATGCTGGCCAAGACTGCGCATTAACTTCAAATATACCAAAACATACATTTCTTAAATACATTGACAGTTCAAGTAATTTATTAAAAAAACTGCTTTTCATTTTGAAATATATATTCTTCTTTTGAATGACTATATTGCAGCATGATTTACACATGCATTTTAAAGTACTGTAGTATGAGAAGTTTGAGGCAGCAGAAATCTTACAACGAGCTGTGGTTTGTCTGTTTAAGCACACAGATTGACTGCAGCCCACAGGCCCATGCGAAAATGAATAAATAGCATCACAAACACTTCTTATAAGACGACAAATGGAAGTTCGGTTTCTAAAGTTGCTTTAAGTGGCTGCTGGATCTCTGAGCTGCCCATGGATTGGGACACACTGCTAGTGATCCAAACGCTGTTCCAAATCAGATTAGCAGAACTCTTTTAAGCTCTTCACAAAAAAAAAAAAAAAAAGTCTTTGCACTGCAGCTATGTCCTGAATCAAGGAAGGGGGCATGGAGGTTGCGCTGATGACATTGGTACAGCAGCTCAGAAGAGCTCCAGCCTACAATTCCTCCAACACAGGGACTGGAACAGCAACACATGCTAGTGGATTGAATGTTAAGGTCTAAAAACTGTTTCTGATGCAGATTTTGATATACCCAGACTGTGCCATAAAGTGACGGAGGTAGGCCTTCGGTTTACCTTGTTGTACTGACACCGTGCCTTTACCTTGGCTGCTGTGTCCCCAGCCAGGAGGTTAAACGATCATAAAAAGTGCAATTAATCAACGACTTCCTTTCCCTATGAAAGAGAATCCACACGCCCCCTCCCACGAAGCTGACCCCAGAGATGCCCTTTCTCCATGGCAGCTTCATCCAGAGATGATCAGGTTTAAATGCCAAGAAAACCCCCAAGTTCACCAGCACGCAAAACTCTCAGCTAAAAATTGTCACAGCATATTCCAATGACATTCATAAAATGCAGCACTTGTGATAAAAACCTGCGAGTGCTGGTCACCTCTCCCAATTGCTGCTCTTTCCATCTACAGTTCACATCATGCACCCAATGTCACCCTCTCTTGACAAGCAGCAGGCTTGGGAGTAGTTGTTGAACAGTATGACTAAAAGGTTTCACAGCAGTTTCTTGGAAACCGCAGCAATTGCTTTTGTTTTCCTTGAAAATGATTGCAAATAAAACTATTCTGTAGTAATTGCACTAACAAAAACATGAAGTCTAAAATTAATGTTAAAGAACTGTAGCTGTCAGACCAATAATATCATGCTTATGAAAAAAATCGATCAAGATGTCTAAGCATTTGATTCAGCTGTTACGCTAGTGAAATCTGAAATGATCAGACAAAAAAAAGCAAGAGACTATAAGTCAAGATAGCTTCCATTTTCAGTTAGTTAAAAAACAGCCGAAAACTTAATTTTTCTAACTGCTAATTGTATACACTGTGAGTCTCATGCAGATTAATAAAACTTATTCGAAATCTAAATGTATTCTTAATAAAAAAGTGTTCAGAAATGATGTTTCTAGGTTGTAGAGAAAGCAATTAGCATCATAGCTACCTGTTCAAACCTATATTAAGGACTACAGAATTTCATTTACACTTTTGCACGAAACTGCCTTTTCTTCTGCAATTTTAGCTACGAGTAGTGAAGATCCTAATTTGTTTTCCTGGGGAAAAAAAAAAAAAAAAGTTCTTGATCCTGCACCTGCACTCCCTGGAATGTGGGTGAACAACAAGCAACAGCCTCACACGGCTGACTCACTCTCCAGCTCTGACACAGCAGCTCCTTTGCGTGTGAGCTTCAGCACAGTTGGCTTCTCTGCACTTGTGCCGTTGCCCTCGGTTGTCTCTGGAGGACCTAGTCCTTTCTGTTCTTCCTTTGGCTCTTCGTTGACTTCAGGGTAAATCACCAAGAAGGTAGCTGTCAAAAAACCCAGGAAGGATCCCACTGAAGCCACCATGGGAATGACTCTGACTGTGCCAACCGCATCCACCACGCCACCAAGCGCAGAGGCCACGAGGATCTGGGAGATGTAAACCTGACACGACAGAATAGCGCAGTCTATGCCAAATCCTCGCTTTGAGTTCCCGGGGCTATGGTGAATGTACTGGAAAAAGACAAGCAGCGTGTTAGGAGGTAAAACGATGGATGAAATCAAATAATTAAACACTAGTATCTTCCTCAAATTTCTCAGCCAGGTGGTCAACTTTACACCATCCTTGTGCATCACACAGGCTATACAAAATCCAGAGCAACAGCCTCCTTATCTACTTACCAGTGGCCTCCTTGTCTTACACCAAGAGGCAGATATTTACTGGGGCACTCCTAGCGTGAATTAGCTCCAAGATATGGTTTTGTAAAAAAAAATTTACATGAAACAGTGGAAATTATTTTTATGATTATAAAAAGGAATCCCCCTCCCAATCCCAATGCAGGAATGTGTTAAAATAAATGATCCCCCTGTAATTTGTAATCCAAATAGAACAGTGCCAAAGAGTGGAAAATAAATCTGTCCTTGTTTCCAGCAGAATCAGTTTGCCTTACATCTCCCCAGACTTACAGCTGCATTTCCAGACCCACCTCAATATCTAAGACTGTGGAGAACCTGAGTAATGCTAACATAACACATCAGAAACAGTAGTAACAACTAGGTATATAATAAAAACTCCCAACAATTATTTCATCTCTATTCATCTACCATATGCACCCACAAATCCTTTTATACCTCCTCAGCACGGGGTAAAGTAATCATGACCCCACTGAGCCAACTTGATGCTAATACCACCTGATTTAAGTAGCAGCTCTTGTTATTTACTATCAAGGATGAATTTGTGCTTTGGTAACAAAGCAGGTATCTCAAATAATGGGATTTAATAAATATACTTTGCCACTGTGATCTTCAGAGAAACGTGACCACTCTGCCTTGATTAAAATACTCAAAATATTCCACGTACCTGTTTAATATCGTGGTATTGTCCCAGAAGCGCATAGGGGCAGTAGGAGATACTCATAGAGACTATTCCCATAGTGCTGATCATTATCATGGTGACATACACGTTGGGGAACATAGCCATCACTGCAGTCCCCAGAGAAAAACCCAGCGTGCCCAGGATGTAGATCACTTTTATGCTAAGGTCATAGTTGTCCAAGTATTTCTGCAACAGGGCTGCACAGGTGAAGAATAAAACATAAATATCAGTTTACTTGGTGAAGTTTTATGGTATTGATGCAGCCGTGACAGCTCAATACGCCATTTAGGACTTGGATGCTCACTGCATATTTGGCTTAGCAGCATAGCTCGGGCCTCATCGGGAAAAGGATGCATTACTACTCCAGAAACCAGGGAACAAATGAGCTCAAGAGACTTGCCTAAACCACACTACAAGTCTAAGGCAGAATAAAATACTTTGAAACTCAAACGTATCATGGTCCACTCAGTCCATTCATTAATTCTACCTATTTATTAACTTTATCAATGCAGGCACCCTCTGAGCACAGCGGAGATTCTGTTTCTAATGCAAGCACATTTGCTAAACAAAGTGATCAGATAATTGATGTTTATAGCCACGTTTCAGTTTGTGTTCAGAAACAAGCTGCCCACCTGAACTTCAGTTTGACATGTCTCAACAAAGAGGCTGTCCCATGATACTGATCTGTGCAGACACGCCTGCACACGTGCTGTGCAAGGCAGAGTTTAGGTTTGGCAAAAGCTCTCTATTTCAGAGTCTGTATTCCAAGCCTAAATCGTCCGCAGTTGGCTTATCCATTATTAGAGAGCACAGGACTTTCAGAAATTTAGATTTATAATTTTGATTTTAAAAGCAGTTTTTGCAAAAACCCTCTTACATATGCTTGAATCTTCTAACAAGCATATTTTTAGTTTCCTGATGACTAGCTAAATGCCATTCAATATCCTTTGATATCATTTTGTGCTTTACGCCACTTAACCAATCTGTTTGTACTCCCACATCCACATTTGGAGGAATTTTTTAATACTGATTCTTAAAGAAGCCCCTCCCCTTATGACCACATGAAATGCTTTTCCAAAATACCCTTCACTCCAAACAAGGAGGCAGATGCTAACTGAAGCAAAACTATTTTTACCTTGCAAATACATATATGAGGTGCATTCCACCGTCTAATTGTGCAGAATCTCTCACCTGAACAAACGGCAGCAGTAGCAGCATAGATTACCAGTCCCCAGCATCCCATCTGAACTCCAGCATTATAGGCATGTAACTCAGTTGAATTAGAAGGGGCCTGCAACAAACACAAACGCAAAGCCATTTTCTTGTAACGAGCACATCTCAGAAACGAGTAAGTATAAGCAGATCTGCCAATGGTAACTGTTCTCTTACCTTTGGATCGCCCTGGAAGATGACCTGTCCCATGAAATCTGTATAGAACACAGCTTCAGCAATGATCGAAAACCAAGTTAAGAGGTGACAGACGCACAGTCTCAGCAGCTCCTTTGGCATCTTTAGCATTGACAACCACAAGAGTCTGACAGTAGTTTCAGTTTCCCCCTCTTCGCTCTCTGTGTCTCCACTTGAATTTGTTGTGCCACTCTGATTCCTGTGTCTGTACCTCTGTCGCTGCCGCTTCTGCATGTCGTAGATATCATTCATACTGCGTGAGGACTTTATCAAGACGATGGCATTGGCCCGACGAAAGCGATAGCGGTGAGAGCCAATTTTTCCATAGTACGAGAAGGTGTAAGATGGCTGACGGTAGAACATGTGCCTCCGCCTTCGCATGGAGTTTGAAGTACTAGATTGCTTCATGCCTATTCTAGCATGTCCATTGAGGAACTCTTTTGGTAGGGAGCCATTCACGTTTGGGACTTTATCTTCATTTAAGTGATTATCAAGCAACATTTCTTCCTCTTTCTCATTGTCCCTGAGGAAAGCAGACAGGTGGTTGAGTTTGGACTTCATGATCTCTTGGCTTGTATTGTGGGGAGTGTTTGGATATGAAGCATCCTGAAAAATCGAGGGTTCGATGTCATGCAGAAAAAGCAGCTCCGATTCAATTTCCAACGTAGCATCGGGCATGTGCAGAACTGAGTCACTCTTACTTCTTACAATGTTCACCTCAAGGAACTCCATATTGAGATCATGCTCTGACTGAACCTCGTCATGGAACATAGAGGCTCCATACGGCTCTTCCTCACTAATTACATTCAGTCGATTCAGAGGGGGGAGACTACCACTGAATTTGACACTGGAAAGTGTGTCTCCTTCATCATCAATCCTGTCCTGCTGAGGGTTATATTGCTCTTCTTCAATGCTAAAAAGGTGGAGAGCAACTGAAACAGAGAAAATAATGGCTGCAAAGAAGAAAAGGACTTGCTCTTGAGATTTAAAAATACCACCCAAGAAGGTCTGTGTCCAGTCCAGCCCTCCTAACATATAACCAATTGCTCCTCCAAGACCTGTGGAAGAGAAAAAATGAGAAGTGAGTTCAGGAAACATCCATTCAGTCACAACTTGGTCATCAGGAAGACTTGACAGCTGTGAAAAACATATCCACTAACTCCATACCAGCTGAAAACGCATGGATGTTAAGGGCCATGTCTTGCTCTTCACTGTCCACCACATCCAACAAATAGGCCCGAATTGGTCCTTCTGTTGCATCAGCGCAAAAGTCCAACACCACAACACCAAGCACCGTGAGAACTATACCAATGGGCTGCTTGTCTGGGACATCACCAATAGCCAGACCTGAGGAAAAACAGAAGAGGAATCTGAGTATGTCAGTCAAAAAGGGAAAACTACTAAGAGCAAGGTTAAGCTCCTTAAGAGAAAGGTGGTCAACACGCTTACTAGAAACATTCCTTTACAGAATAAAATGCCAATTTCAACTCTGGCACAACTTCATAGGTGGTCTGGGACAAAGATTTTGTTTTTACATTTGTTATTTTTCAATTTTTTTTTTTTTTAAAGTATCTCTTAAACCTTTGAGACCATTTGATATTATTTCATGTTTCTCACATGCGTTTTCTTTCAAATGCTGAAGGCTGTTTTTATAAAAGACAGCCATGGTGAGAGAGGAGAGCCTCCAAAAACAAAATTACAAACGTCATCTGTCAGTTACAAACACAGGGAACTGCACTGCTGACAGCACTCCTGACATGGTGCCTAACATACAATGGTCACAGTACACCAGGATAAAGTGAAATTTAACCCCTTCACTTTTCCCTTTGATTTTCTTAAACATTCATATTTTCTAAATCACTTTTATAAGCAAAACTTTTAAGGATGAAGTAACATGAAGGTATTTTGCATTGCAAAAAGCATCAGTCAGCTTCTGTTGATAGCACAGGATGAAATGCTTTTTGTCTACAGAGTAGAAAGGCAGCATTAGTATATAGCTGGAGAATTTTTCATGAAACGAACCACTGACAAAAGCATGAATTACTTGAATCAGAGAGATTTAGAAGTTACACATGCAAGACTGATAAAACCATTAGCATAACTGATGAAAATGACTGTGGAAAGAGATGAACTGGCTAAGCCACCAAAAATCATCTAAATCTCAAGTGCTGCGATTCCTGCATATTCAATCCTCACTTATACCAAGTCCGCTGAATGCTAAAGAAATTTATACATATTCCACACTCGGCTGAATCTTACAGCAGAAAACACCAACAATGTCAGCACTTTAGATTTGTTGGAAACCTGAACAGTGCATACAGTGAAGAGAACAAGAGTTGGGTAAGATCTATATACAGCTGTTCTCCCAGGACACCGTTGTATTACAATTAGGATTAGCAAACCTCTTTTTTAGCATGCTCTTGTGCTCCTTGTCGCCCTCCCTAAGACTGCTATTGCCAGAGGCCAGGTTATGAAAAAGGGTATGATACAATGACACCTCAGTTTTTGTAGCATATCCTATAGCCCCAAAGTGAAATTAGGATTGCAAGTAACTGGAAAGTAAGGATAGGAAAGTGTGAACGTAAAATGGGAACAAGACAAGACAATGAAAGCATACAGGGTCCATCTAGAAGAAAATCTGGTTACAAATGAGGCCTTTTCCTGCAAACCACTAGACACCCCCTTTTGCGAGAGACTGGTAAGCAATGCCATTTCTCTCTGAAAAGTGACACAAGCCACCATTTCAAAAACACCAATTAAAGTGAGACTAATATTGCTTTATCATATTGTGCATCTGCTCTAACTAGTGGCTCAAGCGCTGTCTTACACTGATGTCAAGTGCTATCTTATGCTGATATAAATTGAATGTTAGTGGCAAATCTCTATCTTCTAACATGGAACAGGTCTAGAGAAGAGCAAGGAACAGGTCTCACTTCAGTTCAGTTCACTCCAGGCCCCCTTGGGAGAGGCACAGCAATGTTTAAAGTGCTTTTCAGAAGTGGGTTTTCATTCAAAATCTACCACAACCACATCCCAGGAACAGATGCATAAAGCACAGAGCTCACTTCTGCAGTGCGTTGCAACAACCTCTGTGTTTCAAAGAAGTTTCATTGCACAAAAGCACCACTGGAGTATCTGGAAAGCACAGGTTTTCCAGAGAGCTATGCAACAGACTGTATTACTGTGCCACAAAGAATTAGAGAAAAATCAAAACCAATATTTTGTGCTGATTTATTAGAAGGCGAGATACTTCAAAATAACCCTATAGACTGCATAAGAGGTTTGCTTGCCAGTAACAATGGTTACTGACCTAAACTACTGTATGGAAGTAAGAGCTTCCTATCAATGAAAATCTTGTAAGAAGGCTGCAGCCTAACATCTTGCATACATCTGGAGGAGGAGGGATAAGTCTTGGAGACACAACAACAAAGTAGAATTGATACCATATGATAGCAATTCAAATAATTAATATTTATTGCTTGGGTAAATTAAAAAAGCATAAGCTAAATGTCATTCATCTGAACAGTTTGACCACTGCAGTTTGCAGAAAACTGAAAACCATCATATGGCATCCCAATCTGGCTTTAAAAAGCTAGCATGCTGAGCCAAGATAATGTTCCACTCATTTCCCTCAATTAGTAAAACTTTTTCACAATAGAGCTGCATCTAACCCAAAAAAAAGAGAGCCAAGAGGATATTATTAGGTGCTAAGTTCCTTTCATTTGCATCAGTCCAACCATGATGTAAACATTTCCCCAAATGTACTTGCTGTCACCTCTCCTACACTAAATTTACAAAGAGATTGTAGATTGTAGATTAAGTTCTGTAGTAAACTATGTTCAAGGGAAACTATTTTTACCAGCTTTGATGGGGGCTCAGGAAAAATTATTTTCCCACATAGTTTTTGATAAACAAATATTAACTGTGTTCTGGACTTTTTCAATACCAGGTCTAAGAAAAGCACAAGAAAAAGTGAAAAGATAATTTTTGAAATAATGCTGGAAACAGGATGTGTTGCCAGATATGCATTAAAGGGAAAATGGATCACAACAGGAAACATTTCCCTGTGAACAGGTTGCTACAATTTTCCCATGTCAAGGATCGACCAAATTCATCTCAGCGACTGCAAACATTATGCTGGCAACCATTGTATTAATAACACTGTATTACAAGTTACAGCTATGATTGCACAATACTTAGCACAGCACCGTAACTTTTGAATAAAAACATGCAAGATGGATAGCTCAAATGCAGTGTTGCAGAGAGTTCTAATGATTTTAACACTAAACCTAAGTTAAATCAACTGCATATCATTATCTTTACTGCCTACATAAAAGTCTTAAAGCAGATATGTTAGCAGGAGATATACGCAGGTGATTTCCTCATTATTTACCTATAACAGAACCATTAAGGAAAAGTGCAACTCCAAAGAGGACACCAATGCAGAGAGCAAGAATAAAAGGCCGCCGGCGGCCCCAGCTCAGTGTGCAGCGGTCACTAGCCGAACCTATAAGCGGAGTGAAGATCAAACCCAGGATAGGGCTAAGGAACCAAGTGAGGCTGTAGTATTGTTCAGGAAGACCTAAAACAAAGACAAAAATTATTTAAAGGTTATGTGGTACACACCAAACATTTCACTTTATACACGAAATTTTCTTATATCTTTGAAAACTCTAAATTGATCAGTAATTTATCTATGGTAAATTCTCTCCCAAATGAACAACTTAGTTAAGATTTCTTATAAAAGGTTAAAAAAAACAGCTAAGGAAAGCACAGATCATTTATCTTTCAAATACCCAGGCAATGAGAAGGTAACAATAGGTACATTTAAGCTACTAAAATACAAGTTTAAAAAAAAAAAAAAAAAAATCTAACAGTGGAATCACTAGTCTAGATTAGTTACTACTGTCAAAAAAAAAAAAATCACTTTTGCTGAAATTTGCTGAAGTGTGCAGAATTCTTTTTCGCAGGGGTTGGTAGGGATGGCCTCCATGAAGAAGTAGCAGCTGAGGTCTGCTGCGTAAAAGCCAAATAGCTTTGTTGCATCCTCTATCCATTTGTGGACTATAAAAACAAACATCTTTGGGATGCTTGGAAAGCTACTTGGTTGTCACAGACACATATCCCCTTCTCAACAAAACTTTTAACATTCAAAAGCAGTTGAACATTATAGTGGTACTGTTCACTTAAGATCACCACCGTAAAGAGTTATTAAAGATTTAATGGACTGAGAGTGATGGACGGAATTTGACTGTCATATGAAGCGTCCTATTTCTATGCACAAATATGTTTACTTATAAAATTGAACAATGGACAATAAAAGAAAAAAAGCAATTATTCATTAACCTCTAGAGAAATCTAAGGAGGCTTGCTTATGTCTACTATCCTTGTTTTTGTTTGTTTTTTTTTTTGAGAACTAAGGTGACTACAAATAGGATCGGATGGAAACAAATTGGATTTATTATGTAATATTTACCTAGAAAAAAAAACCTAGTTATGAATAATAATTTCTGGAGAAGGAAAGAAACCCCCAAATCCCTGCTTCACACCTCTCCAGCATGGAGAGCATTGGCCTGCAGATGGCAGACTGGCTCAGAAGAGCAGCTACACTCAGGTCCTTGGAGATCTGCGTCCCTCTGGGTTTATCAGCACAGATCAGGTAACCACTTTGACATGTTTCTTAGCAAAGCATTAAAAACAAAACAATCAATTTCTTGCAGTCCAACTGATGCCAAGACTGAAAAACTCAGTGTCTTTACCCTAGGAAGGAAAACCATTTATTATTCAAAACCATATATTGTAAGCGTGAGTAGTATTCGACATTTCCTGGTGAGATCAACCTGTACCTTGTGCTCCCTGTTCAGCACGCTGAGGCATCCATTACCCAGCAGGATTATACCAATCCCTGCCCAAAATAGCATATGTTGCAAATTTGGAAGTCTAATCTCCTGCTGTTTAAAGTACCATCAAATCTTGACTAAGAATGCTGACTTCTTCCATGAGATAAATCAGATTTTCCTGAGACTGTTGCACGCTCTGCAGTGATACAGAGATTATATTACAGGAAAATAAGCTATTTTTTTGCCATAAATAACCAGTTTCATCATCAAGATTCAAAATCCAGGTCTGAAGCCAAGGTCTATGTGATTTGACTCACCTTTGGCTAACGAACAAGCTAACGGCCACAGACGCCTTGACAAGTACACAGTTATTGGAAGAGACTTGCCTCTTCTGAACTCACCTGACCTGTGTTTTTGGACAAAATATACCCATGAACACCCTGCCCACAGGGGATGGGTGGGTGAGCATCATGGTTTAGCTATCTTTCCTTGTTACAGGCAGCTGAAGACCTAGACCAGAGGCCAATACTCTACATCAGCACTTACCATAGAACTATTGACTCCTTTCGCGGCAGGTTTTAGATTTCCAGGAAAGGGCTGTGTCTGTACAGATGCCACCTCGTTCACATCATGGCCCAAACCATTACCTCTGGCTTAGCTTTTCCAACTGTTTGGTGATGTCTTGGCTGACACGGAAGTTTTAGCTGAGACATACTTAGTGGGGGGGCATATTAGGTTTAAAGCTCTTGTTCAAGAAGCCATGGTTGTTAGCACCATTCCTCCGGACTGCAACATTTATTTGCATCACCCAGCTCCTCTCAACGAGTTCTATCCTAATCATAGGGGCAAGTCAGCAAGCCAGTAATCCAAATAAGAGTGCAGAGAAAACCTCCATCTCCCTGGGGTTTTAACACTCTCTTTAACTTCACCAAGTTCCACAGCCTTCCCAAGCACACAAGCAGGTTCAGGCACTGTGCGTTTTAACTGGCACCTCTCCTGCTCCAGGACACTAACGCTTATCAATGCCTGAGCTGGCATACAGATGGGGTGGGAGGGGCGATGTCAGCTTAAAAAAAAACCATTAATGATAGGAAAGAGGAAACATTTAGTTCAAGGCAACAAAACTAAATGAAAGGGAGGTTATGATTCATTTAGGGTGAATGAGTTTTCTGCAGGACACCGAAGAAATGGCAATATGCAAACAGTCATCCCATTTTGCCTCCAGAGCCATCTTGTTGAGCAGCAGTTATCTATCAGAGGTTGTTATTGTGTGATGTCAAGTCAGTGCAGCGAGTCTGTTTTAAAGTTAGAAGCTATAGCTTAACCAACATCACTGATCTTCATCATAGCGTTCACCAACATCTGAAATAATCTGATGTCATCTCATTGCAAGAGGGCTGTATGTTGAGAACAGAAGTTTCTTTTCTGAATTATGTTGTGACTTGTGAATTATGAGCTGGAACAGCTCAATTGAGCTCATCCATCAGGAAACACTTGAGAGACATTGGGAAGGTTATGCAGTAAATCATACAGTTGCTTTAAATAAACGCAGGGGATGAAGGCTAGCAAGAGCTCCGTTACTAGCATTACAAGCATCATCCTATCTTATATGAATAAACAACCTTAAAGAGATAGATGTAAGTAAAATGGACACAATTAAGAGACTCTCTTTTAATTTTCCAATATCCGTGAGACAACGAACTTGTTTTAATGGAGACTATGAGCAGAAACAAGAAAATGCTAGTACAGGAGGGACAAGCAATAGGGGTGTATATCCAGTGACACCAGGGGCTTGCACAGCTCACTGTCCTTCTGTCCTTGTGGCCACCACTTTTTCTGTCTCCAGTCTACAATGGCACTTCTGTGGTGTATACAAATTTTAACAAAAAAAGTTCTGGAAACACTTAGCCATTCAAAATGATGACTCAGAATGACTTCTGCAGAGAATTAAAACCTGTTTACAAACATTTTTCCTCCAACTGTAAAAACTGCACATTTCTAAATTGGAAAGATAGTTATTTTTTATGCTTTATAGACACAGTTAACCAACTGTCATAAAAATGTCCTAAGATTATTTAAAAAACACAGTGATTTTTACTGCCAGCGTTACCTTGACTTCAGTACTTTCAAGATCAACTTTGCATGTAATAACTCAAAATCAGATTAAGGCCTGCATTCTGGTTTGATTTTACAGGCCAGTAAAAGAAAGGAAGAAAGGGTTTTTACCCAACCTCTGTTACATGCCTACAATTAGGGAGTTTTATCTTTCCATGTATGAGTTAGAGGAGAAATTGAAATGCTTTCTTGAGAAGGCTTTATTTTCACTGACTGAAAAGGGTGATCTTCCTAACATGTAAGTATTATAAATAAAAGCCTAAATCCAAATATTTACATTGAAAATGGCTTACTTTGCAAAAGACATGAATCTCAATGATTTCAGAACAGAGCTAGGGATGTAGGTTTTACGGAAGGACACTTAAAAAAACCAAGAACGTTATGTTTGGAGATCCTTCTCGAGACAAACCACTTTGATATTTTTTATTGAACTACTCTTTAGCAGCCAAAATATCTATCTTTAGAAAAAGAGGCCATGATAAAAATCTATACAAGAATTAATAGCCCCATAGTAAGAAAAACGGAAGAATTTCTAAAAAGCTTTCAGTGCTCCTCCAAGTAAACAGAAAAGGGATAACTTTCAAGAGAAACACGAGCAATTCCCACAGATTCTATAATGATAGGAGCCATCAAGATGAGCACAACCTGCTTTTTTCTCTTGCTGGAGAAATCATGCTATAGGACTACTTCCGCAACCTAAGTGGCAGGGCTTTTATAAGTTGCATTCCAAGTGTAACCTAGCAGTTTGTAAAATCATCATGCATGTTTTATGTAGTTATGCAGAATTCAAAATAGTTATCATTTATTAAGTGAAGTGTATGACTTTTCTTTACTGTAAGTATGTAAACTGTGATATCATTACATTAGAATTTAGTTGTTTACTCAAGTGGAAAACTACTGAGTGAGGTTAGAGAAGATTCCTGGCGGGAAGCTGGTGCACATGCAATCTAAAATACAACAGCACACGAAAAATTTATTTGCTGGCTGGAGAATTCCCTCCTGAACCTGTCTGACAGACAGCAGACTCCTCACCTGAACAATGTATGGGCAGGCAACCAAAGCAATCATTTTAGCAATGGGTAGTAGAGTTAGTTACCCAAAGCTTCCTTTTGCATTTGCTTTCTGTGTCTGAAAGTTGAGATGTGTTATTGATAAGCTGTAGTCTACCCAGTCAACCAGAACTCTGCGAGACAACAGTTCTGGTGCCTAGAAGAGCCTTTTCTCTCTGTATAGATTTAGCTGTCACCTCTGATGTCTGCACTCAGCACTGTTGCTGGAAAGTCAGATTTTGTAAAGCTCACAGCCACGTTCTACCATGGGTCTTCCAGGAAAGAGCTTTCCGAGACACTGAGCACTACCTCCACTGTCCCAGGAAGCAAGACTTCAAAACATACCTTGCAGATGTTCTTCATAAAATTCATGCTTCATACTCACAGAGTCTACAGGACCTTGAACATTTCAACAGTAGGTTTTCTTTAGCGCTAGGTATTTTCATATAAATGAGAAAGTTCTAGACAGACAAGGAGAACTCCAACCCCAAAATACTTTTTTTCCACTTAAAAGATGCTGTTCTGGTTTTAGTATCTTGAATGTCTGCATACATAATATGCATATTTAGGTTGGCATG